AGCTACTAAAAAATATGCGAGCCTTTTCATAAAAAAATTTCATAAAATGCAAGGGAGGAGAAGCGGTCCTCCCTTGCATTTTGTTATGAAGGGAGTTATTATTGTTTGCATTTTGCTTCTAAAACGGTCAGAGTTTTCGAAAAGTTTCAGAACTAGAAGGAATCAATTTATTGTCATTACATGAAATAAAAATATAAAATTTATACAAAATTTAAAAGCCTATATGAATAAAAACAAACGATATAAACAAAAAACAAAAGTGACATATATTTATTTTCTCAGCTGATTTTCTTCAGCAAATTGGTTAAAATATCACACGTATTTAAGTTTAAATTTATGGATAAAAGAGAATGGGAGCATTCGCCGTGGCCGTTTCGCCGTCAAGACATATTTTTCTTTACACAACTGTGTTATATCTTGCCATATTATACCAAGTTGATTAAAACTAATAACTCTGTTTAGTTTAATAATTTAATTTAATTTGATAAAGATTTTATATAAAATGTTTTTGGGTACAGTTTTATACAAATACACCGTTACACATGACATTAATTTTAGGAGAGTAAGGTGGTGACAAGATTTCCAAAGTAATTCCATTTTCCATTCAGATTTCATCAAAATTGAATTTCCTGCTTGTATGACTGATTTCTCTGAACTAGTCGATTAAAATTTCAAGAAATTTTGACGAATCATGTAAATTTTTGTACCCGCATAATTTTAAAATCGGTAATATAACTTCTATTATATCAGAAGTTTAGCCCCAGTTCTCTTTGATACTGACATAATTTTCCAACTATGTGTAATTTCTTTATAATCTCATACTTGTGAATAACTATATATATTACAAGCAACCTTTATTAAGTATACAAAAGGTAAAAAGAATTATTAAACTTAATAAATTTATTACGGAGATAAATACGGCAAGATAAAATACAGTCAGGTAAAGAAAAATATGTCTTGACGGCGAAATGGCCACGGTGAAATGGCGAAGGCGAAAAGTCCTAAACCCGGATAAAATACGCAAGTAATTTCATTTGCTCTGTCTCAAATTAGACTTTATTTATTTTTTTTTTTTTTTTTTTTTTTTTATAATTTTCAGTACTGAAAAAGATCTTCAACCGCTGCAATTTGTAGTGGCAATACTTAAAAGTAAGAGGGACACTCAGAAATTTTAACAAAGGATTTTAAAATTATACTTACGAAATTTTAAGAGTATTCGAAGTAATCTCCTCCAGCATCAATGCACTTCTGTAAGCGAATTTTTCAGCCTCAAGCCATTCAGTTTTTGGAATCGATGAAAAAAAATCCATTTACAGCCTCATGAATCTTACTTTCGGAATGAAAATGACTTCCACGTAAGTTCTTTTTTAGATTAAAAAATCGCCAAATGTCACAAATAACTAGATAAATTGGATGCTGTATCACTTTGATGTGTTTTTATTCAAGAACTCAACTTTCTTGCTGAATGAGAAGATGCATTGTCATGGTGGAGCATGTATCTCCTAACATTCACTTCTTGAAGAATTTCTGGAAGGCATTTAGTGGTGTACCGGTTAGCTATGACCATCTTCTTTCCTTCCAGCTTGATGGCTTTGATCAATTCTGTACTTCTGAAGAAGACGGCATTCATTATTTTCATGGCACTTTGCCTTTTCACCAATTTGGGCGTGAGATCATCTTTAGACCTATACTTTACTTTCTTGACGTGTTGAAAAGTCAAAAAATAGTATGTACGTTTCCTCACTAGTTACGATTTTTGGAATAATGCTTTCTGTATCATTTGTTAAGTGCAGGGATTATTATCGATTGACATTTTCCGCATGCCAGACACATTATCCGGGATTACTGCTGACAATGGCCTTCCTATGTATTCCTCATCTTGAAGAGAGTTGCGAATTCTGTAAAATTCTGTACACTATCTGAATACAGCAGCATGAGATGGATCTTCATTTTCAAATGCTAACTGTGCATTCTTCTTGATTTAATTCCACTTTAAAATCATAGCGGGATAATGTTCTCGGATTATCAACTCAAATTTTCCTTCTCAAATTTATTCAACGCTAAACTACTTGCAGTTGGCCAGTAAAAATCGTTTGATAGGCTAAATTAGTTCATACTTCCAAATCTAATCGGTTAATTTTCTGTCACATATCGTCTGCGCGTATCTCAAAAATTTCAGAGTGATTTCCGTATGTGCTTTGATATGGGTACGTTAGGAAATGTAGACTCAATTATTTTTCTTAAAGTAAGTTCCGCAGTAGGCATATATATTTTTTTTTTCAAATATTTACATACGTGTTTAAAATGAAGCCATTTTCCAAATTCTGAAAAGGGCGTTTTTTTAATGTTTTGTGTGTTACCTTTGTTTATTAAATATCATGTCCTTCGCACTTAAATTATAAAATCCAGTTCAACAGCAATATCGCAGAATAATTTTTAACTGAGCATATTTTTAGAATTTCCGATACACAGTTTCGCCCACTGGAGGTAAAAAAAAAAATTTCTTCCCGTACAGTGTTGCCATTCCTCGCTTCGAAATCGTTTAGTTTGTTAATCAAAAATTCTTTAAAGTCTGACAAAATATGAAATAGATAATAAAACAAATTCCAAATTAGGGCTTCCAGATGTCCATATTCGCTGGAGGATTACGTTATCCAAAATTGAATGGCTCTAGATACCGTTGTTTTATCACAATGCGATAAACATACATACATTTACGTAGATTCTTCATAATTTCATTTCTTTAAATATAATACAGGGCTGTAATATTTGTGGTAACCGTTTGAAAAGTGAATCAGCGCAGAAAGTGAATTGACGCAAAATGCCAAAACGAAATTAATAGCCCTTCTGGTCTAACGCCCTTTGGGCCAATAAGTAATCATACAGTTAGATATATAGGTTAAAATAATAATGGGTACTGTGTAGAGACATTAGGTATTTTTTGGAAGCAAACGAGATGAAAAATTAGCAACCGCTTTCGCCGGGAATCGAACCACGGACCTCTGGAATACTGGCCCAGCGTGCAGAAACACTACACCTCGAAGGCACGCAAGGAAAGTGGGAGAAATACCTCATATACTCCCCTTTCTAAGGGCGACTGGGGTTTTTCAGGGGATCCAATCGCCAAATCCTGCGTGTGGAAAAACCTCATCCAACACTCTTTTAGTTCAGGCGCCACTGTAGAGATATTAGGTATTTTTTGAAAGCAGACAAGATGAAAAATTAGCAGCCGCCTTCGCCAGGAATCGAACCACGGACCTCTGAAATACCACCCAGCGTGCAGAACCACTACACCACGAAGGCACGCTAGGAAAGTGAGAGAAACACCTTATAACTGTATTACATTGTCTGAACAAACATGTACATCAAAAGTTGATAATTTGGCATATACATATATATATATATGTGTGTGTGTGTGTGTGTGTGTGTATTCTAATTGTCGCTTTCTTTTAAATAATATTGATTACAAGTACTCATCTTTAAAAGTACTTTGCCACTTTACAAAGTAGCAAAAAAGCCAAAAGACTTTTTTTGGCAATCTCTTTCTGAGTTACATCTTTTTACTTAATTTACAAAATGTATAAAAGAACACCAAAATTTTTTATGCCTCCGATCAAAACTCTATATCCGGCCCTGGATGATGGTAGGCATATGGTTTCTAATATTTATAGAACTAAATATTAATTATTTAGATATAAAACTTAGTTCATAATAAAATATGAACAATTTTAAACAGATTTCTATGTCAGGTTGCTCTTTCTGTTAGATGCACGATTTTGGTGTAAGACTTAAGGAAACATTTCCCACTGATTCAAAAAGAAAATAAGTAAATGGTTTACTAAATAGACTCAAAATTACATAATATACATTTTCATGTCAAACATTAAAAATTTCCACCATAGGATTATAGGTTATTTAGTCCTATGGTTGAGGTGGCCCAGCAAGGGTAATCACATTTACTGTATAAGAGTTTTTAGCAATTATTTTCTGCATATAATTTTCTCTGACTAAAACAAAGAAACCTTTGATACTTATAAACTTTGATAAAATGTCTTAAAACAAATCACTAATCAATGGATACAAAACTTGAATTCTTTACTGCAGAACTGTCTTATGAACATCGAATGATGGCAAGACAAAGTATATGAAAAGGCAGTCAGCTTTGTTAAAATTCAAAAATGTAAGCATAAATATCTTCACCATAAAAAGAGATATTTATGAGTGGAAGTAGAAGTCACCTCTTCCATTTATTATACTTTAGGTATTTTAAAGTGCATTGAACGTTAAAAAAGAACAGCAGGCAGCAATTGAGCTCGGTGAATGCATTATTCTCAGGATGAAATCTTAATCCAGATTTAGTTTTGGTTCTTAATGCATTTTGATTGAATAATTAATACTGCTGTAAAATTATTATTGGCTGTTTGGGTTTTAGTTCCATTTACATCATCAGAGTTACATAAGTTTTATGGATTAGTCTCAAATGGCTTAGTCTCGAACTGGATTAGTCTTGAAATGATGCAGTGCAAAGAGAGATTAAAAACAGAGGGGAAATTAATTGACGCTGCTAATTTAAATTATAATTTTTCTTTTACATATTCTTTATTTTTCTTATATATTCCTTTCTCAGATTAAATCTTTATTTTATTTTCAATAAATATGTTGCAGCCACAAACAAGTTGGTATATTATTTGCACCTGTTTAAAAAATGTTTACATTTTTGAGAGATTTGCAATAAGAGCAGTCCAGCTAGGCAGAAGAGTAGAAAGTTAATGCCTTATGTTCAAGATGAAATCGTAATATAAATCATATAATTTTTTAACTAAATAAAAAAAAAGAATACAATGAAAGAAAAACTTAACAACAAAAATTTGAACTACATAATAATATTTGAAATATTCTAACAGAAATACTGAAACACTAATATATATAAATATAGTGATATATATGTATATTTAGTAATAACATATATATTATTTAGTGATGGACTATAGAAGAAAAGATTTTTATTTCCATACAAATAGTTTTTATTTCTTTTGAATTTACACACAGAAAATAATCATTTAAAATATTTACAAAAGTGTTAATTACATCATGGTTCATAGAAAATTTTTATTACGTGCGCAATTTCCTCATTGTTTGAATTTTACGCACTAACACTTGAGGCTTGCCTTTACTTTCTGTTTCAAATGTCTCTGGTTTTGCTTTTAAAAGTGACAATAAGTGTTGCAAATCAGCTGATGGAAACAATCCCAGATCATCTAATACATCACAAAAGTAACCTAAAGTAATCATTTCTAAAATAAGACTCATAAACTGAAAAATCTAAACAGAAAACTGCACAAATGTTAATTTTAAAACATACAAATTTTAAATATTTATATAACATTAAGTAAATGAAAAATATAAAAAGCAGACAAAGCAGACAGGTGGTATTCCATTGAATAATAAAAGAGGTGCCCAAAATCGAAGTATTAAGTACATCAGAAAATTTCCAGTTTAAAATGGTTAGTGGTGGTGTGTCACCAAGGCTGGCACCACAGCATGTGCAACCGGTGCGGCCTTTTCAGAATTTAGGAAGGAACCGGGCAGCAGAATTTTAGAGTCGCCAAGTTTGCACCGGGAGGCAAAATGTCTAAAACTAGCCATGTGTGTCACTGAGAAGCAGTACAACAAATTACACTGTGCCACAGACTTTTCTGAACAGGCTCAGTGCACAGTAATCCAATTTTCGTCAGCTGAAGATGTTAGCAACACTAACATTTACAGTCAAATGAAGGATGAGTATAGGACTTTACATAAGTAATGTAGTGCAGTATTTCAATGGTGGAGTGATTTTAATTACAGATGTGTGAGTACAACAACTGACATGCCATGATAAGTGAAACACAGTCATCGTTGAAGAAGCAGGTGTTGCAATGGGACTCCCTTGTAAAGGCGAATCATCGAATAACTATCTGTGAGACTATAGGCAGGTTGTTCTCTTGTGCAAGGGAAAATGTTTGCACTATTTAACATGAAAATCTGCAATATAGCAAGGTTTTGGCAAAATGGGTCTTTAAGTACCTCACTATGGCCTAAAAAACTTTTCAAATGGACATTTGTTTTTCAGTATTTGCTTCACTACCATACAGTATTGTGGATTGTGACAGAACTTTGTGTGATTTCTTCAATCTTACAATGAAGCAAATGAGTATGGAAAGGGAAATCTTGATGTATACCAATAAAACAGTATATGGATAAAATGTACTACTACTACTCAAATCCATTTTTATTTGCACAAAAACACTTATTCCTCAAAATTTGTTAAATAAAATGAATTTATTTCAAATCATAATATATAACATTATAACACATAATTATAAATAAAAATGGAATATATATGCAAAAACCAAAAAACTATATCATAAAGGAATAAAACTAAAATAATATATGTCAACAAAATTTTAAAGAACACTTCAAATATAAATTCAAATTTTAACAAGAAATGTCACCTCTCCTAACTTGAGCACTCACATCACAATGCAATTTCATATTCTTAACAGGAACAGCTAATTAGATTTAAGAGGGATCCTTACGCCCTTCAAATTTATACTTTTCCCATTAATATGGTTTTAAAGGCAAACAAGATATCTAGGATAGAAATTGCCATACAACAACTTTTTCAATAGTGTCCTTTAATTTTCTTTGGGAATTCAAACTGTGGTTTAGAGAAATTCATCCAGAGCTGATGTTTATAGACATGCATTAATAAGGAAGTCAGATCTATGTATACTTTTATAATTCCTTATGTAAGTATGCAAGGTGACAAATACAGATCCTCCATTGAACAAATGCAAGGGGGTATATTCATTAATTACTCTTTCCATTCATTCATGTACTCTTTCCTGTACCACATTTGTATTGCAATAGACATTAAAATTCTAGTGAGAATAATTTTTGTTTATGCCTCCCTTTACACATAAACATTGTTAGAATCATATGTCAAACTGAGGCTCAACTCATCACTAAAGAGAACACAGGCTTATTGCAATACATTCTGTCTCTGATGTCTGCACCATTTCAGGTAAGCCTTTTATTGTAATTCTGATGAAATGTACACTATGGCTTAAGGCATAAAAGGCCTCTCTCTCTAAGTCTCCTGTATATAGTTTGTTTTGATAGAAAAGTTCCACTTTCAGCTGGAAAATCTAAACTCCACAGCCTAACAATACAGCTTCTGCTCTAACAGATAGGAAACTGCCATTAAGTTTTTGTTCTACGATTTTATTCTGATTTCCTAATAGTTGCAGTTTTTAAACTGTTTCCACAGGACACTTTCTTGGAACTTTAACACTTCTTGCCAATTACATAATTATTGGTTTAACTTTTACATAGCTAACAGCTTTCCGCCTCAAAGATGGTTCCATATTTTGTTACCATAAAAAAAGTAGTTTGATTCAAACACCGAACTCCAGAAGCTTATGAGGACACTTATTTTGTGCAAAATGCTTACTATACCTTTGGGCAATGTCATACCATCTTTCGCATCTTAGAAAAAGATGAAATAATTGAGAATAATTATATACATAATAATTTACTGTGAATTTTGCTATTTCTATAGGAAACAATCAAACTGATTGGTTAATTCATGAAATATTATTTTTATGTATGAAAGATAATTTTGAACACCAATATATTCAAAAGTAGAGAGGAAAAAAATCAGTCTCAGACTGATGTAGATTTGAGTTTCACTTAAAATGTATACCAATACAAAGTTGAAATTTTTTGCCTAATTTTAAAACTCTCATGTTTATCTTTCAATTAATCCTTGTATTCGGTGGAGAAGAGAAATACACTTAAGCTGATTGACAGAACACAAAAACTGTGTATTTTAAGGGTCAGCAACAATTAAATTCACACCTGAAGGCAATTAACTAATTTAAAAGCTAGAGCTATAAATATGTAATAAAATTCACAGTAAAAAGGAAAGTGTGCTTAATTGAATAAAATTCAGCAGACTTGACATAAAAAATTTATCTCCTACAGCAATATATTATCATTAACAAGAACATTTTATACAATATTCTATTTAACACAAAATATCTTGTTTTATGCATTGCACAAAAAGCACAGGAAACAATATGAGAATCTTACCAATATCAGTAATAAGCTGATTTATTGCATTTGCAGTAATGTAAGATATTCTTAAGATATTTTCACAATAGCAATCTGTAATTCTTCTTGCTAAACATTCCAGTAAATAATCAGCAACATTGCTACTTGAATCTGCATAAGTAGAAAGAAAAAAAATCGAAATATATAATTAAGTTGGGAGCTTGGTAATATATCAGAGTTCTAAAATAAACATATGTGACCAATGCATAACTGTAATAAACCAACTTACTACGAATGAAAAAGATAATCCATTCCAATTAAGACATGGTTTAGTTACATAAAAGGGTCTTTCAAATATTTATCATTATTGCTACTAAACATAAGATACAAAAGTAAACATTTCTGTTTTACAGCATCTACTTATATGAATCAAAACATTATTCATAATTATAGCATTGGTTTTGTTATACAGAAAAAACGTCTGAAACCTTGTTACTTTACTTGCTTATTGATATTTTAGATAAAATTTCCTTCTTCTCCAAATAATTTGATTATTATTAAATATTTTACAAAAAAATTTAATATTAATAACATAATTACAGTCAAAAGTCGTTAATTCGGACTCCCATAACCGGAATGATCTATAATCCGGACCTCAAAGCTACAACCTTTCTGCGCATGCGTCGCGTTGATGCGTGCGCGTAAGACCTTTACCGCTACGAATTTGCTTGTGCGCGTGCGCAAAATACGTTTACGAATGCGCGTTTAATGTATAACGGACGGGATAAGCTAAGCTAAAATTATCTAATTATCTATTTCAATTAATGTTGCAGATTGCGTTGTTGCTTAATCTTCGAATTGGATCCGGATTATTATTTTTTGCAGACTGTTAGAGCAATTTTTATAAAAGCAAGCTTGAACTTTCGATTATGTCAAATAGAATTTTCGATATATATTTACTAATATGTAAAGGATATACAAAGCGAAAGTATCTTTCGGAGTCAATTAAACAAAAAGTGGAATTGCTGCAAAAAATGGTTAAAGGCATATCCTTTGTTTATCTAAACTTTAACGCTTGTTTATCTAAACTTTAACGTTTGTTTATCTAAACTTTGTTTATCTTTAACGCCGCGGCGGCGTGCTTTGAATTGGAAGTTGATCTGTCAGCACATCCTATCCTTATCTTAAGGGCAGATGTTTTTTATTTTATTTGGCTTATATTGCTTACACTCAATGTAGTATTTCATCTCGATGTACTCCGTCTTTGATATGATTTAAATCAAATGCCTCGTCATTATAATTTGCTTCCGATAGCGAAGAAAGTGACAGAGGTTATTGAAAACGAAAAAATTTCGATTGAAAAATAATAAAATTAATTAGTCGGTATTCTCGACACAGCAATTATAGGACTTGAACAGCGGAACTTTGTAACTGAACAAGAAATTATGTCTGTTTATAGAATTAAAGAGAATGTATTATCACATAAAAAACGAAGCAACTTAAACAACTTACATTGAAAGAAATGTTTAATAAAGTAAACAAATAAATATTAAGCTTTTTTTTTGTAAATTTTGATACCCTTTAGATCATAATTGTTCTTTATTTCGTAAATTACGTTTCATATTTTTAATTTTTATATTCTGCATGTCATTTTACCAGATTTAAACTGATGATCTATAATCCGGAAAAATCGAGAATCCGGAATCGCTGAAGTCCCTACGAGTCCGGATTAACGACTTTTGACTGTATTTAATATTAAGTTACAATAAATAATCATTGTAACTAATTTAATACGACTTTTGGGTACCTAATATAAATGAAAAACTCAAAAGCATTGGAATTATTTGAAATAGGAACCCAGCTAAGATTTCAGATATTTCTTTACTTTCCCCCTTTTTACAAAATCTAGAAATAAAAGCATAAGAGCGCCGCCCCCTCATAATAACAGGTTTCTATTCATCAGTTTAAAAAAACTTCTTCTAAAGAATCGCACCATGGCCAATGACAATAAATTGTTTGAAATTAGACATGACCATACTTTTCCCAGGTGGTTACAGAGGAGTGGTTAACTTTTTTTTTTTTTTAAATATGACCTACGCGATAAGAGAAGGGCCAAGATATATTTATTTGGAATGAAATGTTGCTCATACTCATTTTCTTTTGCTGGAAGAGCAGCAAGGAAGAGAGAAAAAATTAGATTCTGGAGAACTTGCAAATTGCATTTTCCCCAAACTTTCTAATTTGATTCAGCTTATTATTTTTCACAAGTTTTTATTATTACAGCTAGCTTATCAAAATTAAAGTTTCAATTTTTGTTTTTCTCAAAAAGTGTTTCAAATTCTGGACCTGTTGAAGGATCTGCTAAGTGAAAGCATATTTGGTAATTGTCTTCAAGAGTGGCTTCATGGGAGAAAACAACATTGGTGAAATTTGGGCTTAAGACAATGCAATTCAAAATTGGGGGGGGGGACTGCTTTATTTTGGCATAAATTCTGAATGCTATAGAAGGCAAAATTTTCTAATTAATGGAATTTGTGAAGTGACAAAAAATTTAATTGATACTCAGCAATGTCTTAATCAGCAATCAAATAACGGAAGGCAAACTATATAGTATGGTTTTAAACTCAGAAAATATTGCTACCAATATTGAAGAAAGTGATGAAAAGGTTTATGAGAATGAAAAGATTTCGATGGATAGGACATGATAATTACAGGACTTGAATAATATTACTGAACAAGAAATTATCCCTGTCCGTAAAATTATAGAAAAAGTATTGGGGGGGAAAAAAAAATGCAACAACTTACATTGAAAGAAAAGTTTAATAAAACAAACAAATGCTGAGTTTTTTTGTTTGTTTTTTAAAATTTTGATACTCTTATCATGTTTCATTAAAAATAGTTTCCCATTTTTAATTTTAGAATTTCTACATGTCATCTTTACCAGATTTAAAATAATGGTCTAAAATCCAGAAATTTTCCAAATCCAAAATCAAAGTTGTTGATGATTCTGGATCACAGACTTTGTACTGTATTACATATGATCATGTCATAGCCTACTGGATGATGCTATATTGTGAAATGTGAGTAAATAGTAATATATCAAAAAAATTAATGATAATATAAAAACATTTTTAACATATATATCATCCAGCTGAATGTTTGCCCTAACAGAAAAACAAGCATTAGCCAAATGTGATGAATTCTTTCATCCTATATTTTATCCAATTGAATGTTTGGCCAAAGAAAAAACAATTAGCCAAAAATTAACAGATAAAATTTAAGAAATTAGCATCATTATTTAAATGCCAATGAAGTCACTTACAAGTATACCAGAAATATCTAGAAAAATTCTATTTGCTAATGAAAAACACATTCTACAAAATAAAAAATTTTTTACTTTACAAAAATTTCAAAGACGTTGAGATGGATACCAAAGCTACTACTATTAAAAATAATAATTGCTTAAAAAGTTTGGTTAGTTGATATGGCACAGCAAACCAGGGCTATATACCAAAGGAGAGGGATACTTTTGTGGAGGATTCCTAAGGGAAATTGGCTCATATACACGTTACACATGAGAAAAAACACAAAAACTCCCATGCAGCTAGCCCATTCGCCTGGAATTGAACCCAGACTGGAACTACCTGTGTTCAGAAATTTTACCACTCAACCAGTGCTTAAATTGCGATGGAGCCCTGCTCCGGTACTTCTCAATTTTTAAGATAAATTATAATTTTAGCCAGAGCGCACTGGAGCCCTAAATAAGATGAGCTCCGTACTTCTTTTTATAAAACTGAACCACAATTTAAAGGGAAAAAAATAGAATTCCTAATGCTTTAGTTTAATAATAAGCAGAATTTGCAATGCTATATTTCCCTAGAAATACGAACTCATGAGAACATGAGATGGCCATAAGTAAAGTCCCCTCACTCACATGCGGAAACCTTTCCCTTTAAGAAGGGCAATAAATTTGGCGGAGTTTGTTTAGAAACGCATAAATTTCTCCCCATGCCATCGTAACTAATGTATTGTTATCGATGCTTACAGTTAGTTATCCTTGCAGGAAGAAAAATTTGTGTTCTTAAATGTGCGTTAAGTGACAGCGAGTACAAGAAGAGTGAAACACTGAGATAAACTGCTCAAGCACGTTCTACACATCGTCTTCCTCCCGCAGTATCCACTAATGGGGGGGGGGAAGCATAACCAGCAACTTTACATACATCCTTAGGACTCAGATTCAGGATTCAGTCAGAATCAGGATTACCCCTGACACACACCTGCTTGATGGCTATAATTATATCAGCAGAGAGCCGCGATCAAAGATAACGTTCTCTCTCATCAAAATTCCCCTCATTTTTTGTTTCCACCCACTCATACCCTCATTCTGTTTCGCCCTGGAATTTTCATCAGCTATACTTGAAGTATATTTAGTTTTTGCGATGATAAAAGAACTCCCCCCCTACGATCACAGCTTAAATTGGGCCGGAGCCCACCGGATGTCAGCTTCGGTACTTCTTAGTTTTTGTAATAAATCATAATTCTAGCTGGAATGCATCGGAGCCCTGAATAAGAAGGCTGCGGCATTTCTTTTATGTAACAGAATAAGAATTTCAGTAGAAATTTTACCTTAAAAATTTTATTTTAACAATAAAATTATATTAAAAATCGCTTATTAAATTTCAATTTATCTCTTTACATTTTATTTAATTTTAATTATTTAATTACTTCAATCTTTAATTATTTCATAAAATAATTATTATCTAATAATTATCAATTAAGTTACAATTAATTAATTATAATAATTATTGATTAAACAACAATTTATAAACATTAATTAAATAGCTATTAATTAATTTGATAATGACTAACTATTTAATTTTAAAATTATTAATGAGTTTAATAGTCATTTTATTTATTTATTTACTCCTGTACCTCTTTGCTGACGGTCTTCCATAGGGCTCCGGCACTTCTAATCTTAGAAATTAAGCTCTGCACTCAACCACTGGTGGGCTAATCACTTAAAAGAAATTCCAGTTTTTGCCAAGTCCTTGATAATTCAAGCTAAAGTAATATAGATTTCTGATGGAAATAGGATGATGCAAAGCAGCATCTTTCAAAACAGAGTTCAAAATAGTATGTGGAAAATATGATACATAATCAATTATACAATTTTACTCAAAAATTTTCAATTTAACTGGTATGATCTAAGTAATAATTTCATTACATGAAGAAAATTTGTTGCTTAAGATATTCATCTTATAATAATGAGCATACTAATTGAAATCTGCTTCAAACAATTAAAAAGACAATGTAAATCCTTTTATTTTATGGTAATGTGCTAGTCCATGTATGTCACATTTTTTGAGTGGCTGCACAGGTTATTTCTCTATTATAGACAAATTCCTTCACATTCACCCTATTTATCAACTGAATTTTTTACTCTGTAATATTCATAAAAGCAGGAACAAGACAAATCTGCTTTGGATTAACTTTTTTTTTTTCAAGTAACAGAAAAGAATGATACAATGTAAAGAAAATTTTTTTATTAGAAGCTATGGAGAAATATAAAACTATATTAATATTTATGTTCAAGCTATCAAAACATATCATACTCAATTCATCTATTTTATGGTGTTCATTCATCAAAATTTGGGTATTTTACAACTTGCTGCCACAAATTTGTAAGAGTTTTAACCTGCTGTTGATAATTACTAAGTGAAAAGTTCACAAATGAAGTGAAAATTTGAATACTTGAATTTATCTCTCAGAATAAAATGCTTTATCGTTTGTTAGCAAAATAAAAATAACAAAAGCAAAATTTAATACCACAATTTAAAAAAAAAAAGTTGACAAATCTAGACATTTATTTCGTAATTAACAATGCCTGAATAATCAGTTAGGGACAATTTAAGCAAATTTTTTAATACAAATAAGTAATAAGTTAACCTTCTACTATAGTTTTTGATGCAGCTGCAATTCTGATTCTTAATATTTGTAAACTGATTTAAAACATAATGGGAAACTTTATGTTAAGGATATTTAGAAAATTGGTTGTTAAAATCTTTATGGTGTGCCTCTAGCTATTGATAAAACTAATCACCTTAATTTTAAAATTTTAGATTGATAAGTTGTACTTAAACTTATTTTTACACTTTTTTGGTGAGGGGAGGTGGTGTTGTATTTAATTATGGCAAAGCACACTAGGGCTATCTGCCTAAGTGGAGGGATGCCTTCATGGAGGACTTTCTAAGGGAAACTGTCTCGTATACACGTTACACATGGGGAAAACCACGAAAATGCCCATGCAGCCAGCCGGTTCGTGGGATTCGAACCTCGGACCAAACTACCAGTGTTCAGCAACTTTACCACTCGGCCGCTGGTGGGCCCTTTGGTGAGGGGAAGGGAATGAACCTTATACAGTCAAAAGTTGTTAATCCAGACTCATCGAGACTTCGGCGATTCTGGATTATCGATTTTTCCAGATTATAGATCATCAGTTTAAATCTCGTAAGATGGCATGCAGAAATTCTAAAATTAAAAATATGAAACCGTAATTTATGAAATAAAGAACAATTATGATCTAAAGGGTATCAAAATTTAGAAAAAAAAGCTTAATATTTATTTGTTTACTTTATTAAACATTTCTTTCAATGTAAGTTGTTTAAGTTGCTTCGTTTTATGAGATAATACTTTCTCTTTAATTCTATAAACAGATATAATTTCTTGTTCAGTTACAAAGTTCCGCTGTTCAAGTCCCATAATTGCTGTGCTGAGAATACCGACTAACTTGTCAATCGAAATTTTTTAGTTTTCACTAACCTTTCTGTCACCTTCTTCATGTCTTTATCCATTTTTTGCAGCAATTCCACTTTTTGTTTGATGGACATCGGAACATACTTTCGTTTTGTAGATCCTTTGGGAGCTCCAGTATCCGGAAATTCTATTTGACCTAATCGAAAGTTCAAGTTTACTTTTATAAAATTGCTCTTACAGTCTGCAAAAAATAATAAACCGGAAATAATTCGAAGATTAAGAAACAACGCAATCATCAACATTAACTGAAATAAATAATTTTAGCTTATACCGTCCGTTATACATAAAACGCGCACGCGAAAACGTATTCTGCACTTGTGCTCACACATATGCGCAGTCATAAAGGTCTTACGCGCACGCGTAAACGCCTATGCGCATGTGTCAACTCGGTGCTTGCACAGAAAGTTCTTAGCTTTGAGGTCCGGATTATAGATCATTCCGGATTATGGGTGTCTGAATTAACGACTTTTGACTGTACTGAAAGAACATGAATCATATATATGAAAGTTGATTGATATAATTCTTGCCAAGTAGAATTACTTTAATTTTGAAATCAATCATATGAATCATTTTGTTTGATCATATGAATATTTAAATAATGAAATGAACACTTAAATATTTATTTAAAATATGTTTAGGTGATGAAATTCTTCAAGCATATTCTTATTGTCTATTTGTTCATGAATGACCCCATATTTTCACTTGCACCAGCAACATCCCTTCCTTCCAGATTTCTACAGAGCCAACTTGCAGACAACTACTATTAGGAAACAATAACTTAGATTAAAATATAATCTATTTTAAAACTCTTCATAAATAATAAAAATATCTTTCAAAACTGATCTTCAACCTGTATTCCTTTTCAAAGTCTCACTTTGGCAGATTAGTTGTCCCACCAGCAGTACTAAATGTTAAGCAATTAAAGTCATATTTTTGTTTTCCTCATAAAAATAAATGCACGGTTTAGATATTTTTCTAAATCCTAAAGGTCTTTCATAAAAGTAAAGTGACATAAAAATTGAAGTCCAAAAAGTGGAGAACTGCATGCTTCCTCACGTAAATATGAGGATCTGTCATTGGTATGAAGAATATTCATATGCAGCTGTGTCCCCTTATCTACAGCAAATTTAGGAATGTATTATCCATGGGGATGAGGCTGCTATAAAAAATTCTAGGGATTAAAAATGCTTGCATATTATTATATAATGGAAAAATAATTCAATAAAAACTTTTTCTTAATTTGCAAGCTTAAGGCATGAGCATCAAAATTTTGAATTGTACGTCATTCATATATAAATTACTCTAAAAATATACAGTTTCAATCTACTTACCTTGTTCTACACTATGAGGCATGTTGCAGTTCTTTAAAGCAGTGTGAAGTGCAGGATTATCTCGTAAAATAAAAGGCTCAATATGCTGAGGTATAGTCATCAGGTACTGACCAACCTATAAAATGCAAAACATAATTTTAAAATTTCAGCAGTTTATGTAACTTAGTGTTCAACTAAAGGGGAAAAAAATGTTTATGACAGTTAAATCTGAAATAACTGCTCATAAATCATTCTGGTTCTTTCTGATCATTCGCACTTCCACTGAAAAGTTACAAAAGAGTATTCATAAGGCAATGCAGTATATCACTAAAATAATTACATGGAAACCCACATTGTTTACAAAAAGTATTTATGTGGCAACCCAGGTATCTGCAAAGCACATGTTTGTTACAGCTGATGTGCAGTACCAAAACTGTATGGATGCCACATTTGTGCAATTCCCAAATTTTTTTTTAATGGAAACAGACTGCTGTGTACATAGGAAGAAATAGCAGTATAAAAACAAATTATTTTTTGAAAAAGTTATATATTTTATTACTGCTTTTTAAATTTTATTAACTGACTGCTCTTGTTTGGAATTCTCAGTGAACCACTATTTTGAAAATGGCTGTTTCCTCTTGTGTATTAGGTTGGTGAAATATTAGTCCCTGATGAGTTTGCAAATGCTCTCCAAAGTCACCAATGAGTGTGCAACCTGGGGATGGAGTTAATCAGAAAGTAACAAAAGTTTTCTTATATGCCTACTGTGCATGTTAATTACTCTTAGAATTTGAAATTAATTACATAAGTACTAGAATTTATGTCAAGCTCCAAGTTAATTAACAGTAAACTTCTAATGAAAATAATTTTAATATTTATTCCATTCTAAATAGCTACTTTCAGTCAGAAAAAACATTTAAAGCATGAAATATGGACATTTGAAAGATCATCTGTTTGTTTCTAACGATTACAATAATCACAATTCTTACAGTCTGGAAAATTCCTATTAAAAATTAAATTTATATAAAAAATTTATATTCTACTCCTATATAATTTTGCATTTAATTTACTTTAAAGTATGACTCTGAAAAATACTCAGATTTTGGTGTAAAAATTAGACACTAGAAACAGGCATTTTCGCTTTAAGGAAGCAAAAATGTAAACACGAAAAATTTCAGGTATCATATTTCAACAAAAATATCCATTTTGACAGCTATTGAATGCAATTTAACTATGTTTTTGCAAGACATCTGCACGTAAAGACAGAATAAAGGACTCTTTTCCCTCCAAAAAATTATAAAACTGATTTAAAATAAATTCTGAAAAGATTTTTTTCATGGCGTATGTACGTATGTATCTTACATAACTAAAAAATTAGTAGCCTCAGAACATTGAAATTTTGTATATAGGACTTCTATAATGTGTAGATGTGCATCTCCCATTTTGGTTGCAATTGGCCACACCAAAAGTATATAAATAAATAATATATATATATATATATACACACTTTGTTACGCTGCTCACAGTTTCTTTATTCTTATATGTTTGTAAATTGTGTATTTTTTGTTTTAAAAATGATTGAATTATGTTGTTCTGGCTAAGATTTTTATGCCTTTAGTTAACCTGCATGCAATAATTGTGTAATTATCAACAATTAAAAAGTTTTTTAACATGTTGAGCACAGCGCCAGTCCCTGGGGACTGGCAGTGAACTTTCCGTGTGGACGGCGTCGGCCCCTGGGGACCGGCACTGACATTTTCGTTTGGTTGGCGTCGGTCCACAGGACCAACCGTATTTAAGTTAAAAAATAAATATAGTCTCAATGAAATGTGATCAAATTTAGTTTTAATGAAATGTATTGAAACATTCTAAGAAAAAATATGGCTTAGCTTTACGGCTGCCGGCTAAATGGAAAGGACAGCATATTCAATGCCGTGCTCAACATGTTGAGTACAGCTAAGCATAACTTTTCTTTAGGATAGCAGCCATATTTGTTTACATTTGAAACTTAGCATAATAGTGGATTTGTTGCCAATCTAGAGAAACTAAGCTTCGCAACAACAAGGTAATGTCTTCTTTTATTATTGCAAATTAAATTATGCTTAATTCAGTCTGGAATTAGCATTTAAGTTACTAGCTTGTTTTTGCATAGAAACTGTAATTGTAATTGTAAATATTGTTTTTTTAATATTTTTAACTGTACTTGATGTTTTATGTTTTTCTATATCTTTCAATTTTTAATGAAAGTATTTTGAATTTTCATGTATTTTTGCCTTGCAGCGAAGTGAGAACTGAATTAATTAGTAATGCATGTGCATTAAGTAAGTGGCGCTGAATCGTCTGTGAAAAACTGTTTTTTTTTTATGTGTTTAATTTCCTTTATACACCATTTTAGATTTATTATAGTATTTGAATAGAACATGTAGTAATTCTTCAGATGATATAATTTTTGTGCACTCTGAGTTATAAAATGAATGAGATGTAATGCTGTTAAGTGAACCTAGCACCAAAGAGTTGCTATGGTATATAAACATAGTAAACTTTAAAGAGTGCATTTATTCTATTGTGCTTTATGTGGTATCGATGAAGTACATTTAATTCAAAATTCGTTAACTGTAAATTCAATATGTTAAATGAAATGCAGCAAAATTGCATATAATTTAATATTCCATACATTCTTTATATGTAGAACAAATGTCTCAAACAGCTATGAATCTTAAGGAAAAGCAAAGAAAGCTAGACATTGAAACTACATGTTTCTTTCTGCATGGTACTTCATTTTCATACACCTGATAACAGAAATTGTAAATTAAATTTCAGAAATGATGAACATATTTATACAGAAAGAATACAGCTGCCATAATCAACATAAACAAAAACAAACTGCTTCTTTAGCTACTTCACATGCATTGAAATAAGTAAATTTAGCTGATAATCTAACATAAAACAGTGTACTATTAAAACAAACTTTTTTATAGAAATATTCACATTCTGTAATGATATATTCTTATGGTCACTTACCTCAGTTATATATTCTTGAGGAGATAAACTAAACTGAGGTAAATCAGCTATTACAGAACCAGATATATCTTCAGCCCACAACTGAAATAGATTTCAGACAGATATGTTTCCATGAAATATTACACATTATTTGCATTATATAGAAAGCTAAATATATGTAAATAAATTCTAAATTTAAACTTTTCTCATTGGATAATAAGTATTTCTTATTGCAAAGCAAACATACAAAATTTACGAAGTACTAGATGTTTGTTATTTAGGACAAAATTTTAGATTAAATTTCAGATTGAAAGGAGTTATTAAATTTGATTTTCCCCCATGTTCATTGAAATAGATGCAAATATAAATTATTACATAAATCTGAAAATTTAGATATTATTGTCAAAACAATTTTTAATTTTTAATAATACAAAAGGTGAAAGAATTGGGAAATGATAAAAATATGCTAATTCTATTTCATTCTAATCATTAAGAAACCAATGTTTTTAAACAATAGCAAAGAAATCTTAGTAATAATGAGCAAAATATTTGAAATATAATTTGAGATTTAAAGTAATATGCATCTACTTTGTTTTCTTTTTAAATAATCATATGCATATTTAACATCTACACTAACTAGAATTCATTTTTTAATTTACAGGACTTAAAAATAGTAGAAATTTATATATTAGCTGAAACTAAAGAAGATAACTGCAACTTATAGATTTAGTCAACAAAATCATTCTATTTGTTTCATTTTCAATGTTTAGAGCAATTCTTCTCTTTCAAACTCAATACAAACACATTTTTTTAAATTACTTTCTTAACATTGAATCTGTTTCACAAAATAAAACATACTTTCATTTGAGGCACTTTTTGCAAATGTACTTGTGCTTGCTTTAATACTAAATCAGAAACCAAATATCCAGCATCAGAACAGAGTTTTTTAAATGCTGCTGTAGAATTTGGCAACAGATGAACATTTTGTTCTAAGAAAGAAAGCATAATATTTAAACTTATGGCAGTGCAAACAGTACAATATTTATGACAAATCTATAATATTTATAGATTATTTCGATCCTAATTTATAACAATATAATACTTCATTTGGTAAGGCACTCATAACTTTACCTTAATAATCTGTTAACACCAATTTGTGTATTGTAATGTGAAGAATTTTTTTTTTTTTTTTCAATTTATAATGAAATTTCAACATAATGTGAGCACACGCAAGCATAACATACTTTGACTCATGTAGTACAGTGTAATAGATGATATACATCAATATGTCATACCAGTTACTTCAATATGTATTTTTATATTAATAGCAAAATTATATTAAGCAATTGCAGATACGAAGAGTAAATGATAATAATCTAAAAGCTATGTCAGTTCAAATTATTCTCAATTTTCATCACTTTTTTTCAACAGTCATAAAAGCATGCAATATGCAAAATAATTAAGACACAATAACACGGCGAATAAATACTAATTCAGAAGTCAAACAACAAAAATCCGCGTTATATTTACAAAATTTTTACAGGACTAGTTTCGATGGTTTTACTGAACCACCATCCTCAGCTGCAAAACCACAAATGAACAAGATAAGAACTAATGATTAGATAAAATAAGTAAGCCTGGACAAGAATAAGCAAGTGGCGCCATCTGTTGGTGATAGAATAAGCAAGTGGCGAAATCTGTTGGTTTCACCCAACATTATTAATCAAGCAGTTAAAAAATTCTCATCTCAACACACTAAAAGGCACACTCTTGTTTTAGGAGATTATAAAAATTCTGTTGTCATTCCCTTCTTTCCATCAATTAGCTATAAAGTTGCACATATTTTGCAGAAATTTAACTTTCAGGTTGTTTATTCTCCCATCAATAAAATTCCGAGTTCTATACTCAAAGACCCCATTCTGGATATGAATTCCTGGGTTATTTACAGGATTCCTTGCCAGTGTGGTCACAGAAGTCTTACCGACAGTCACCGGTTTTACCGACAGATGGCGCCACTTGCTTATTCTTGTCCAGGCTTTCTTATCTTATCTAATCATTATTTCTTATCTTGTTCATTTGTGGTTTTGCAGCTGAGGATGGTGGTTCGGTAAAACCATCTAAACTAGTCCTGTGAAAATTTTGTAAATGTAACGCTGATTTTTGTTGTTTGACTTCTGAATTAGTATTTATTCGGAGTGTTATTGTGTCTTAATTATAGAAGCCCCAAACAGGCTTATTTTTTGCTTTCTTTTTTGCACGTGGTGTGGCTGCCATTTTGTGATTGCATGAGTTTCGGTAAATACTTTTTTGCAATTTTCAAGTTTTGTTTATGTTTTGTATATTTGGATATTGTGCTTTGCTTGTCTGATTTCATGCATTTTGCTTACGAATGTTTTGTTCTCTATTCATTTCAGTGAGGGATATTTCTGCTGTTTTGTGTGTGCTTAATTATTGCTTAGTTAATTTAGTTTGATTTTTTGTATTGTTTAGCATGCCTTCATCCGTTAATCGTTTCACTAAATTACGCCTGAAACGGCCAAAATTCCTGAATCATCTTGACTTTTTACTTAAATGTAAATGTAAAAAATTGATGCCCAATTTTATTCAAATCAAATCTAATCAAAAACCTTCAAGTTGCGTTTCAAGAATTCTGTTAAATTGCAAGCTTGCCTTACTTCGGTCCGTCATAAGGGATACACGTCAACAATTGTCGAAAATTGAACATGAACTCTATAAGCTTCATCTGGAACTCGCTAAATCATATCCAAAATTCACTGCCCTTGAACAAAAGTCTTGGTCTAGAACGGAGAATGCAGTTAACCATCATAAAAACACCCTTGCAGTTAAATTCGAAAAACTTCTTCTACAGTCTTCCAGTTCAAGTAGTTCATAAAATCTTCGCATTGTAAACATTAAGCCAATAGTTAATATTTCTAATGTTAGTTTATCAGAAGAACAAGAGAGAATTCTAAAATATAATTTTAACTTCTCAGAAACCTCAATTCCAAAGATTTTGACTCCTATCGAAAAAGATTTCAAGTTCAGGAAAGTTTCAGGTTCACAGAAAGAAATGATTAGGCATCTTATTGCTCATAATGTGAAATTCAATAATAAACCTTTGAAACCAAATCTAATTGCGAGAGAAAGAGCTACAATGCGCGAAATTCATTCTAACCCAGATATTATCATTTCAAAGGCCGACAAAGGTGGCCAGATAGTCGTCATGGATAAGAACATTTACATCGATGGTGTCACTAAACTCTTAAATGAAGAACCATATAATCCGATCCCTAAAGATCCTTCAAAATGTCAAAAATAAAAACTGCGATCAAATCTTCGCAAATCATTTCAAGCAACTTAAAACATTCGCTTATCCCATCTGTTGCGAATTGTGCCAGATTATATGCTCTTCCCAAAATTCATAAAAGTGGTATTCCTTTCCGCCCTATTGTATCAAATTTAGGTACTGCCTCATATCCATTAGCTAAATATTTAGTTTCTAGATTTTCAACTCTATTAGACAATAACATTTACACCATAAAAAATTCAATAGAGTTTGTAAAAAAGGTTAAAAACATTTCTCCCAGTAATTTACCCATGGTTTCTTTTGATGTAAAATCATTATTCACCAATGTCCCAGTGGAGGGTGCATTAAGATGTCAAGAAACCAGACTTCGCGAATTTCATTTCTCTTGCATCGAAATTGATGAGCTAATTTCTCTCACTCAACTCTGTTTGAAATAAACACATTTTGTTTTCCAAAATAAATATTACAAGCAAACTGAGGGATTAGCCATGGGAAGCCCTCGCAGTCCCATCCTGGCTGATATCTACATGCATTATTACGAATCAAAATTGTTTGAAACTTTAAACTTCCCGGCATGGTTCCACTACGTAGACGATACTTTTACCCTGTTTGAAGGTAATAAAGATGATTTAAATAAAGTTCTTTCAACAATGAATTCTATTGATCCTGCTATTCAGTTCACTTTTGAACTTGAGACTTGCAGTTCTCTTCCGTTTCTCGACATTCTGGTCACACGTAACACATCCAACTTCAGTACTACGGTTTACCGTAAACCTTCATCGGTTTGCCTTCCACCACACTTTAAATCATGTCATCCGACTAAACAAAAGTTAGCTTCATTTTATTCCTATGTTTTCCGTGCTCTTCAAGTTTGCTCCTCCAAACTAGCCCTTGATGAAGAACTAAATTATTTAAAAGCAATAGCTATCGACAGGGGCTTTTCACCCAACATTATTAATCAAGCAATTAAAAAAATTCTCATCTCAACACACTAAAAGGCACACTCTTGTTTTAGGAGATTATACAAATTCTGTTGTCATTCCCTTCTTTCCATCAATTAGCTATAAAGTTGCACATATTTTGCAGAAATTTAACTTTCGGGTTGTTTATTCTCCCATCAATAAAATTCCAGAGTTCCATACTCGAGGACGCCATTCCGGATATGAATTCCTGGGGTATTTATAGGATTCCTTGCCAGTGTGGTTTAATTTACATTGGCCAAACTAAGAGAGCCTTAAAATTTCGCGTCAAGGAACATGAGGCATATGTTAGAAAAAAGGAAACACAGAAGTCTTCTGTTGCTCAACATTGTTGGTCCGAAAATCACACTTTCAATTTTTCTGCTGCCAAAATTATTCAAAAAACATCTTCCATTGATTCTGGATTTTCTAGAGGCATTTCACATTCATAAAAATCTTTCTGTTCTAGTTAACGATTCTAATTCCAATCCAAATTTGCCTTCGGCCTTTAAAGAAATTATGCTTTAGTTCTGGTTTCACCAACAGATGGCGCCACTTGCTTATTCTTGTCCAGGCTTTCTTATCTTATCTAATCATTATTTCTTTATCTTGTTCATTTGCGGTTTTGCAGCTGAGGATGGTGGTTTGGTAAAATCATCGAAACTAGTCCTGTGAAAATTTTTGTAAATATAACGCTGATTTTTGTTGTTTGACTTCTGAATTAGTAATTAAGATTACTTAGTAAGTAATTACTTATTTTACTATCTTCACAAGATCTGACATTTGTTAGAACAATTAATATTGATACAAATAATTCCAAAAATATGAGCCTAGAATTAAATAATAGACCCCACATTATTCTGCAGTTTAAATATTTACTTGTAATAATATTATTTACTTGTAATCAAGACTAAACCAACAACCATCTGAATGCAGGAGATCTCCTAGCCACAGAACCTTCTGTTTTAGAACACTGGAGAAACAGCTTGTGCTGGTGATTTTTCTTTATTTACAGGTAAAAAGAAGAATTAGAAATTTTCTTGACTGATTCTATGGTTTATATATATATATTTATAAAAAAAAAAAAAAAAAAAAAAAAAAAGCTTTCAGGGTAAAGGGTTCCTCATGCTTGTCAGAAAAAACTCATTCAGGTATTCTGATTTTTGTTCCCCTTTTGCTCAATTCAATAATGACACAGCACCTGATTGCAACAGGCTGGTTAATTTTAAATTTAGAAAAATCTACTAAAAATAATTACATAGTGATTGAATCAAATCAAAAAACTAAATATACCATCTACTGCAATTATGCAAAATTACTCTGATAAACTTAGGAATATAGCAAAAAATCATACAGTGGCTAATCAAATCAAAAGGATCAATAAAGCTAAGCAAAATAGATTGCATTGGTAGAATGCCAAAATTACTGATTTAGACTAAACCTATACTTTATAGAAAGTTTTTAAATAAGGCAAAATGCTTTTAAAACATGAATCGAAATAAGTTTATAAATAATCTAATTTTAAATACAGACACAGCATGTAAAACCATAATTACAGACTAACATACTTTCCCCCCTTCTGTTACTGTCTTAATTCTGTGACAAATGGAATTTTTAGTTGCACAAAATTATGCATGCATAAAAAGTATCTTAAGCTTATTTAGTATTCAAGCACATAAGCTTATTTAGCAAGTAATAAGCAAGCTTATTTATTATGAAATCTTCTAGTAATTTAGAAGCTTTCAGCAATGTACAATAAATTGCATTCCACTTGATTTTTTTTTCACTGATTTTTCCTGAAAATAAAACAAATATCTATTACACAGGTTATCTTAAATTAAGGGAAAAATCACAAAAATGACAATTACTCAAAAAGTTACATGCAGAATTTAACGAGACTGATCCACAATATACAACACATACTAAACTATAAAGTAACATAAAAAGAAATTACCAGACAATTATGGTATTATAGAAATTAGTATATGTATAAAATGAACAAATCAGATGTGTCAGTTTGGTATAGAAAAATTACCTTCAATAAGGAGTATGATTTCGCTTAGAAGAAATACAAAACATACAGCTGGCCACTCCATGCATTGAATTGTTTGCTGCTGAAGGTAATCATCCATAATGTCATCCTGTTACAGGGAATGATTACCTATTGCATCGGTATAAGAGCACACGTAAGCATCAAGGATGCCATCTCTATATGGCTGAGTATTCATGGTTCTACGTAGTAAGACATGGAGGTCTGTGTGTCTACCTAAAGAGCTACTACCCCTAACACAGACAGTACCTTCTCTGTATGCATCTCTTTTATGAATGTTTGATGGATGATGATGGGTTACAGGTTGTCTCCAAAATAAAGTAATGCCTACTATCACTTTGGAGGCAAATCCTGGACACATCCGTAAAGAGAACAACACTCCACTGATCAGTGGACATGTTGACATGCCTACCTCAAACGTTCCCTTCTTTGACGTGACACAAATGACTGGTCGCTTTGCATACAGACCTCATTTGTGAAGCCTACTCACTGTTGACATTGACACTGACCTTCCAACAGCTGCAGCAAGGCAGGATCTGAGTTGAGATTCTATTCCTTCATGTGCGCAGAGATTATGGTATTATAGAAATTGCCACTGCTTATATTCAAAGAAATATTACTGCGGTTGCAATGAAAGAATAGCCAAAGCATACTTTGTTTTTGCTAGAAGCATCACATTGGCACATACAGCTGTCAATTTGAAAGAAAATGTTTGACAGTTACATACCATACTTTAATGTGTGGTATGTAACATTGTATACATTGTTGTGTGGTATGTAACAATGTGTATGAATCATACTTCAATTTTTTTAATATGTGGATGATATGGTGCATAAATGGCCTTAACCAGAAGAATAACATGAGCACTATTCAGTTCTTCTCCAAAATTTCTTCTGCATAACAACAAATATTGGTCATCAGTGCTCATCATAGCAGTTGGCTGTCCTTGGCTGAACCTCCTGGATAAAATCTATGAAGTATATGAGGGCTCATAGCCATCTAGCCACTTCTGTCTGACTTCTGTCTTCAGGTAAATGATGCCTGGAGTCATTGTTTCAAATTTGCTATTCTACATTTCTCATCTCAGAATCACAGCGAAATTTGCAGGCTTGCTCTGAAACATGCAATTTTATGCTTCTTGCAGATGATGTATTTCGATTATAGTGCCAATAATTTGCATATTGCAGTTTTACTGAGAAATTTTTATATAACAACATATTCAAATTTTATACAGATTAGCTTATTTTTGAACAAATTATCATTAATTTTGTGATTTTTCCTTAATTTTTGGAAACCAGTGTATAAGCATAATTTTTTTCTGCCCTGATTAGAAGTGCAATAGTGGATAATAAAAATAATAATTACTTTACATGAAATATTAATTTATTTTCAATACCATTAAAGTATAGCTCTCTCTCTCTCTCTCGCTGTATATATATATATATAAAAAATAATAATAATTTATTTACTAAAGAAATATTGATTATATTATCTTCTAAGATTAATTTTAGTAGAATTACCTTAAAAGAGTGAATCCATAGTTAGTAAGTTCAATTCTGAAAATTGTTTTAAAGTAACTTTACACACATATATTTTTTTCAGTTTTCAAATGTCTAAGTATAGACAGCATCCACTTTTAATACTAGTTATATTATTAAAAATTTAAATGAATCGGTATAATTTTCCTCATGCTTCTATTTTATATGACAAACTATACAATATTCTTCTGCATATCACATCATAACTATTTTTGCATTAATTAGTGTATAATAAGCATACCTTCTTGTAGTTTAGTTATCAGTTGTTGAAACTCCCGTTTCGCTCCAGGACAGAGCAAAACATCATCATATGTATGAAAGGCATTCACATAATGTTCTTCAGTAGGAGAGTAGTAGCCAAGTTTCCTACCAACTTCCCGAATATTTTCAGTGTATAAGATCACAAGATTCTCCAGTTGCATCAATACTTCTCCAATAATCTGAGTGGCTTGTAGGGATTGTTGGAAGAGAGACCAATCATCAATCTGATTTTCATCTTTAAACTGCATTTTGTTCCTGAACAGTCTTAATAAGCAGCGAAAATTTCCTGAATATTCCACTAAAAAACCCTAAAAAATAAATATAGACTGATCCATATGTAGTTATGCATACAATAAACAACTTTCTCCACCACTAAATTGTTTGATAGCTGAGGTCAAAACCTCTAAATTTTTTAAAAATTTTCATTCTTAGGGAAGGAATAGAAGTAATGTAAAATAAATTAAACAGATATTATATATATTAATATCTGCATTTTTAGAAAATTCATGATAAAAACTTGCAGATGAATCCAAATGATCTATTCATAATTAAATAAAAATGATCAGATTGCTGGGAAAATTCAAGGCCATTTATGAAAGCAGCAAAAATCCTTTCATTGGAATGTTTCAAAATGTGCATTGTAGAAATCACTGCCAAAATGAAGTTAATGACATGCACCCATGGCTTTTCATGCTGTTTAGTTCCCCTGGAACCATTTGCTATATCTGTTATTTCTCTCAGTTTTGGAATTAACACAACGCCACTTTTTCTAGATGCTGAGATTTCTAGATGCCTTCAATGCTGAGATGAATGACTGGTTTGTCAGACTTTTTTTCTTTTAACTCTATTTAATTCAACAAAGACAGGATTTTAAATATGCTTACTATTCCTAAATGTGTGTTGCTTACCTTTTAGAATAATAGACTTTTTATTTTATGAAAAATAAAAGCTCACAATAAGCTCCAAAGATGAACGGAGCTTCTTCACAAATCAATAAAACAGTACCTATAAAACATTTATCTTTACGAAAACAAATTTATGATCTGCTTACTTTTTTCCCCGCTTTGTTGAAAAATGGCAAAGAAGGATAACTATCCTATAAAATCTTTTGTCCTCTCAATCAAAACATCTCTTTACAGCTGGTTACTCAAGTTCATACATTTTAAAACTACTAAATCCTGATTAATAATTATTGGGAAAAGCTTACCATGCTATAAACAGTGAAATCACCAAATGGTTCAAAATGTTTTATAAATACCAATTTTTAATGGCTTAATAATCATACAGTCTACATGCAACTCAAAGCACTCTAACAATTTTTTTTATCTTTAATTTTGCCCATTTTGAGGAAACTTCATTGCATGTACCCAGTATGTATGTATGCATTAGGTTTATTCATATTTTCAGTAGCGTAACTTTCACAATATGACAAACACATCCATAATTTAGATTAAAATGTATTAAATTCAGTAGATTATAAATTCAATCTTACACAAATTCAAATTTAGTTAATTCACATACATTCTACACTTCACATATATCAAAATTCTAATTCAATGCTCAACTCAAAGCTTTCAAAAATTATATTATTCTAAAGAAATTTCCACATTGTATGCTCGAAGCTAAACATAACAAAACTCCCAAATACTTCACTGATTTTGTAAGTTACCTCTAAAGCTCGAAGCAAACCTATATATCCACACCCCTGAGTTAACTGCTGGCATCTACTTTCAGCCTAAAAATATATATAAAAAAAAAATTCTTTAAATAATTAAATAAATAAAAAACTTATTTTGGAAAAATAAAAGAGAGAGAGAGAACTTTTTTAGACCACTAAGTGATAATTTTGACAGTACATTCAAAAAAATTTATCTAACTTACTTCTTGAATGAAGCAAAATACTTTGCTCACAGAATCCCCAAGAAGACGAGCACAGTCGATTATATCTTCGGACTGTCCAAAAATATCAATAAACATTATTTTAAATCAAAAATATTCATCATTATTTTCTTTTTTTTTGCTACAAAGACATTAGTATGAAACAAATCAATACATACTAAAAAAAATAAATATTGTTGGAAAACTATATTGTAAATACTTTATTGCTGCAATTTTCTGTCATTTTAATTACTTTGAAATTTTTCTTAATATTAGTATCATAAAAATATTTGACAGTTACATACCATACTTAAAGTTTTTAATGACGCTACAAGATGTTGCTCTTCTAATGAATCATATTTTTCAATGTGTGGACGATAAGGTGCATAAATAGTCTTAACCAGAAGAATAACATGAGCACTATTCAATTCTTCTGCAAAATTTTATAATATTCAATACAGTAATAAAGTATTGGGAAATTTAAGCTTTACTCAGAAATGAATAAAAAACATAACATTACAAAATGTTAAACATAATAGGATACAAACATTAAATTGAAAAATCCTTTTTCATTATAGGACAATTCACACCATGTAACTTGCCACAGAAAGATATATGCACTTTTATATTATATTAAATGCACTTTTCTAATCTTTCATAACAGTGTCATTCTAAAGTCAATCTCATCGATAATTTTTTTTAAATGCATTCTTTTTTTACTGAAATAAATAATAGAAGAGGCAATACACTGCTTACATTAAAAAAAAAAAAAAAAAAAAAAAAATTACTGAGTTTGCAATGAAAGAATGACCAAAGCATACTTTTTCTGCTAGAAGCATCACATTGGCACATACAGCTGTCAATTTGAAGGAAAATATTTGACAAGTGTTGTTTCATAACAGAAAGCTCCCATTCCAAAACTCTGAAGAAAATAATTCATTTAATCACAGTTAGTGAATCATTTGAATAAAGATTATCTCAGAATAAATTTTCAACTTGTACCTTCTCTGTTGGCACATATATTTTCCTGACATGGTTAGCATTTGCACATGCACTGCGTGTTATGAAAAATGGAAATACGGAAAAGCTAAATTGAAGTAAAGGTCCCATAAAATCAGCCATAGAAATATTAAAACAATTTCAGCAGTACAAAACAAAGAATACACACATTAATCAACTGGACATGAAGCTAGAAAAGACTGAAAACCTTCAACTCAACCTTGAAGACTAGGAGGAAAAATACTACAAAATGACGTACACACACAGTCTTCAAGACATTGAGGTCACTAGTGAACATCTTAAATCTACTGAGTTAAGCCTGAAATTTAACCTCATTTAAAATCATGTCTGATATTTCTGGAAACTAATTATATAACAACTGAACCAGAAGCATAAATTCTTCTATCGGAAATTCCCTCACTCATTTAGCGACTTGTATCGTAATTTTGTTAATTTACAAACTTACTCAATTTACAACTTTGATAATTAATAATGAACAATTAGATGAGTCACAGAAATTATATTATTGAAGAACTTTTTTGAAAGGAGAAGCTAAGAATTGAGAATCATCAGATGAGGATTTTGATTCACTCTTCCAAGAGCTTGCTCATAGATATGAACATAAATCTCTTTTAATTGATTCTTATAGTTTTTGCAATTATGGAAAAATTCAGCAGGATGCTGCTAAAAACTCAAGAAATTTTATTGAGTGTATCTATGAAAATGTATGAACTGAAACTTCAGTTTTTTTGGGTGCACTGAAGCTCTTTCAACTTCCCCCTAAATAAAGCCAATGACATCAGATCCTTACAACTCACACACAGTCAATTGATGCATTTAATGTTGGAAATACACATGATATGAAGCCTTTTCAGGCCATTAGAAAATATTTCAAAAAACAGTCTGCATTCAAAATACACAACAACAATAAATTAAATATACCTGTATTGTCAATGAGTATATTTTTTGAAAAATATGTTTAACCCGGGAGCGCTCGCGCTCTTTCAAGTTACACGAGGTAAAAAAAAGAAGTCTTGAAGAAAAAACTGTTACTCTTCAGGTAGAAGTGTTACATTTATATCAAAACTTTATGATCAAGCTTAAAAAAATATGCAAATTATACAAATAAAAATTTTAATTTCTATATTTTTATGAAATACATTTTGAAAGGAATAGGAAAACGTATTATATTAATATAGAATTTATTAGCAATTTATTATATTATTATTCAGGTCATTCAGGAATTATTATTCAGGTTTATTAGGAATATATTGCCTGAAAGAACATCATCTTCAGAAAGCTTCAAGGTTTTCATCAATTGTTATAAACTCACGGACAGTAATATTTCTGGCAGTTATTCACAAAATCTTCTAAAACCTCTTTTATAGGTGCAAGTTTATCTGATTCTCTCTAGACGACGTGAGTTCCTATGCCATCAAAACTCAAACATCTTTATTTAAAAAAAAAAAAAAAACGTTTTTAGGACATAGTTTTGTGGAAAATTTCCAAGCCGGTTCTGTCTGTTGCTCACAGATCCCGCACATTTACATGAGATGACTTATGTCACAAAAATATAAAAGACCTATAAAAGCACGAATTTCAATTACAGTTGTGTGACAAGCATTTCTCTCTCTTTGAAAGCTGTCAGAAATAGATGCAATATAAATATTTGTATAACTGACGACTTGTTCACTTAGTAAAAGTTCCGATGATTCATTTTGGAGTCTGCACATATTTTGCCTTACCGATGTTTCCAGGCAATTTAGTAATAATATTATGAGCATTTCTAACATCAGTTTTAGGCTTTTCTTTTGACCATTTTTTTTTTTTGTCTCTTCCAACAGAGAAATAAATGTCATTCATATTTTCGTTTTCAGAATGCATCTCAATTTCTGAATTGGTATCATAAAGAAAATTCATTATAACTTTCATCAGCAGTTTCTTCAATGGAGTCTTCAACAGTTGATAATCTTCTAATAATTTTTGCAAACGTAACATATCTTCCTTATAGGATAAATTATGCGACATGTTTGCAGCTTTCTGTGCTACCACAAAGGAACTACTCTACAGCAATGTGAATAGGTGCGCTGGATCTGAAAGACCCAATCTGATCAAAACAAAACTTCAGAAACATAAAGAGGATAGGTTTCGAGGAGACTACACTGAACCACAACCACTTGGGAAAAATACGGGCATTTTCAGAAAGGTTTCTTTAATCGGGCGGGGCCATTGGACCTAGCGTGCACACTCACAGGTTAAACAAACCAAGAAAAAACTATTTAAAGTGCAAAAAAATTAAACTGAAAATAGTACCCATTATTGTATTCAATATGATAAGTGATACTGTATTTGAGAAGCATGAAGATTAATACAGCAGAGCCAGTTACATTAAAGATTTTGAGTATTGTTCTTGAAGTACAACCAGTTAGATTTTATTTTATTATTTTGCCATTTTCATAGAAACAATGATTTTTTATTATCATATCAAGGCATAAAATTTGGTAAACATTTCCATATAATGAGCACAGTTTCTGATTTTAGCATATATCATTGATAATATTCATTAAAAAAATTACTTTTCGGTGCTGTTTTTCTTTTACATTCGCAAACAATATTAAACATTACATATTAGGTTATTTTAATCAAACAATCATGCACAAAATAATTAACCACAAAAAATTGTTTTACAGTGTTATAATTTCATTTTTAAAAGTACAGAGTATAGGAATGTTCCATTTTTGAGATCAGCAATATAATGATTTTCATTTTAATTTATTTCCCCCTAAAACTAAAATCACATTGCTGTACAGAAAGAAAACTTGTTAAATTAAATGAAAACAGTGCTACAGTAGGTACAAGCAAAGATATACTCACTAGGTTCAACAGAGTGAATTGATATTTCCAAGCTCTTAGCCAGTCTGTCTGTAATCTGAAAGACATTTATACTGTAAAAATAAAAAGAAGATGGAGGCAGTCAAAATACTCATATATGTAACTTCACATGAAGGGGCGAAAAATAACTATAACAATAAAATACGACATATATAAGTATTAAATGGGATTTAGCTTTAAAAATTCTAATAATATTTAAATGTTATTATTCAAGCACCAAATTTTTATGTTAAAGAAGATTTTTATTGCAATAAATAAATAAAACCAGGAATAATTAAAATTACAAAAAAAGGAAAACAACCTATAGAAATACCTTAAAATTAGTTATGCATATTATGAATCTAAATGAAATAATTTAATTCTTATGTAATTAACTGATTCTACTACTAATTTAAATCTCATTAAATTACTATATCTATCATCACGTTTGATTTTATGAGCACAACAATCTTTCTTAAATGTAACGTTGTTTATGATAAGTAAGTGGTTTATAGGCTTATCTACTTATTGCCTCAATATAATTTTATTTATTTATTTTTTGTTATTGATAGACTATTACTACTGCATATATTTGCAATAAAATAGTAACTTTTTTTATATGCTACATACATACATTTCTTCCTCTTCATACTTGAATTATAAGTCATTCACAACACTAGATACATAATATTCTAGTGTTGTGAATCATACTAGTGTGTTATCATATTAGCTTTCTTTAATGGAATTTAGTCCTCAGTAATGCCACAGCAATCTTGCTTAGAGATAACTTTCAAAGCTAATTTTTTTTTAAAAATGTTGTTGTTGTTCACGTATATTACTGCACCTTACCCAACAGTATATGTATATTATTGCACCTTTACCTTAAAAAATATGAAAGGAAGAACTTTTCACAAAAATTAAGCAAATGCATGGAATAAGTGATGACAATGTTCATACAGTTAAATATCATAATTAATGAGTGACTTCCAAAATATTATATATTATAAAGTTTCAGATTAAAAGTGATATATTGTATGGTGCTTGCATAACATCTCAAAATCAAAGTTATAGTCAATAAACTTGTAAAAATAGTAAATAATGGAATTATAAAAGCACTAAAAAGTAATTTTCCCTCAGTTGCAGGATGGCTCATAAAAGAGTATATTTTAGAATTTCTAAAATATTATGCCGTGTGAAATAAATTAATCTACCTTACCCCCCATCCCAAAAAAAAGTGTACAGTAACAGATAAATTCAATAAAAATAAATTTAAACACTTGCATAGATGTGGATAAGTACAAAAGAAAAACTGCAATCGTTGCAAATTCCAATCCTTGTTTTTTTTTTGGGGGGGGGAACTAATATAATAAAAAGTAAGATGTAATTAAATATTTGATGATGAAATTTTGAAAAAATTCAGAGTAAATGAAATATCTCTAAACACACAGCACATTAATCATCAGTATGTTCCTTTAACAGAAGCAGTAGATATTCAGATACACAGATCAAATGATGAACACGGAATTATAATCAATTGAGAAAACTAAGTATGGTTGAATGATTCTTAATGAGTAAATATTTAAATAATTACACCCCATTACCTCTTTCTAAAGATATATGTCCCATATCATTGTACAGGAGATACAACACTTTTTTCCCCAAGTCCTTTATACGAACAACTCATTTTTATATCTACAATTTTTCTACGAATCTATATATCTGGCTTACATAAGGCATATATTGCATATATTATGATCCTTCTTGGCCTCATAATAACATATCCAGAAAGTACTTCTAATTTACCAGAAAATTATATAAATAAAACAAAAAATGTACATGAAGTAGAATTCTGATAATCCACCTATGGTTGCGTGAATCAAAAACTTTTATAAGTTCATGTCTTACAGAGTTTTGATTACATTTCTTCTGATCTAATTTTCACATTAAATTTGGATTGTTTGCACATAAGTAACTGTCCAAACATATTTATATGTTAAAAATTGATTAAGTTTTACAGAATATAAAGCTATTATATTTTTAAATACAGTAATACATACACACAATAATAGTAATAATAATGTTAGTAATAAGGAAAAAATGTTGTGCACAGAGAAAGGGATAAATAAGCAGGAAATAAGAACATTTTTTACAAACATATATCATTTCCTGAGGGGAAAAATAATAGTGTATTCACCAGCAAAATTACTTTCAAAGTAATGTTTATGTGCTTAAACTAAAGAAAAAAATCAATAAATAAAAATATTTATTGCTTATTAAAACTTTTTCTTAAATTGTATCCACAGATTATCCATTACAGTTCATGCACGTCACAAAATATGCTAGAATTGAAATTTTGAATTTATTAATGTTCTTCAGCCAGTTTTTCTCTACTATGTTTTCCATTTTTTGATGCCAGGAAAATCTCTACACTACATATTTTTAATAATTTCTCCTTGTTTGCTATTGATAAAAACATGCTTACTTATTGTGCAAAATGTAAATAACCCAGCTATAAAACGTATTTACGATATAACTCAGCACTTGAAGAGATGCAGGCAAATAAATTCTTTACACATGGTAACCATGTAAATTCAGAATTAATTTTAAAAGACAGCAGAATACATATCCAAAAAATACGATTAATCTAAAATAAAAGATTTGTATAGTTTCAAGATCTGTGCTTACTATAAAACAAAAGCAATGATGCAACTGAAGAAAATGCAAAATAAGTCAATAATAAAATAAATATGACTTCTGAACTCAAATGTGTTATAGCATGTTTACTAAAAAGTTTATTTACTCATACATTTAACAAAAAATTGCCATTAAGTCTGCAATATTGAATTTGCTGAAAATAGAATTTTTGTTTATTTACATAAAAAAATAAACATAGATTGCAGGCATTTGCAACTTAAGCAGTTGTGAATTACTGGAATTCTACTGTATTAAAGTATTATTACTTCTAAACAAGTAAGCAAACATATTTTAATATTTTGCATAATGAAAAATATTTATGCATTTGCTAGAAGCAAGAGAATCAATTTTATGAACAACATTTTATAAATAATTATTTCCAATATGGCTGAGAAAATATGTATCAAATTACTATAAAAGCAATTACTTGTTTCAGCTCTATCAAATACTGCAAACGATTAGATTGAAGCTTCATTCCTGCATCAATACAGAATGCCAGAGAAGGATCTAGATTTGTTAACACATCTACTAATAACTCTGATAGCACTTGTATTACAGATGAGTCTGGAAGAAGTTGCTGACAGCATGTCATCTGTAAAATTTAAAGAATGCATTTTCTTTTTCTGTAATTTAAATTTATTAAATTGTTCAATCATACAGCATATGAGAATTTCTTAACATTTGAATACTAAATAATGAGCAAAATAAAGTAATAAAAGAGGGAGTTAAGATAGGAAGTTCTCTTATTTCTAAGTAAAATTAACTAAAATTTTACAGCAATTCTTGCTGCTAATGTGGGGCTAAGTATATTGGCATATCTTTTGGATATATTTTCAAAACTAAATAAATTAATCTGTCTACAAAGTGATTCTTTGACTATTTTCAGCCTATTACAAAATAAAGGAGTATGAGAAGAAATTTGGTTAATGGGTTAGTTGTGTAAAACAGAGATATTTTTCAGAAATTTTCTTAATAGAAAATATTATTATTGGGAGAGATAAAAAAAAAATGTCATTGAAAGAATGAAAACAGTTATTGAGCTCCAAAATGACACGAGACTTAAAATGAAATTCCTAGCATAAGGTTAATTGCAGGACCTCATAAGAAGTAAAAATGGAATAAAGTGAACTGTACAATAGTACTTTAAAAATTACAATTCATTTTTCTTCTACATATCTGTGTGATAAAGTATCTGTATCACAATCTTAAAAACAAAGCCCTGAAATCGTCTTGATGTATGCACCAAACTCAGACTGAACTTTATCAGCATACATCCAAACATAGTAAAGCTGTGCAAAAAATGGTTGGCTCTTCCATCTCATCGATACGAGTTCCAACGTTTATTCCATTTTAGTTAATGAGATAAATAGTATTTAAACTCCAGTGGCCTTAAATTACTAAAAATGAACATAAATTTTCTTCTACTAATACAATTGTGTAATAAAAATTTAATATATTTTATTTTTAAAATATAAGTATACTGGTAAATAACATATGCTACAATATTTGTTTTTGAAGGGAATAAAAATAAGGTGGTCAGGAAAATATTCCAATTTATAAAAGCGGTTCTCACTTGAAAAAAGTTTGAGGAACATGCCTAAAAGAAATCAAAATTTACAAAAATTGTTTGTTTTATTAAACATTGTTTTTTGTGAAAATTAATTTTATAGTAAACATACTTTCTTGTTTAGTTACAAAGTTCCATTGTTCAAGTCCTGCAAATGGCAAGTTCAGAAGTGCCAATAAACTGTCATACAAAATCTTTTCATTCTTAACAACCTCTTTGTCCCTTTCTTCAATACTGGTAGCTATATTTTCTGCATTTAAATTTATACTACAGATTTTAATTTCTACTATCACATTTTCATATATTTTCACTTCTATGCATTTCTTCATAAATTCCATTAACTGGAAAATTTTGCTTTTTACTTGTGATACCCGAAAACCTCCAAATTCACAGTTATCATAATTACCAGCATGAAATACACTAGTTGGTCATACATTATGCCAAATATTTTTAAAAATATTTGCAGACACATCTTCCTTTGACCTTGCACAGCAGATACTAAAATATTTCAAAAGTTTTGTTCAGAAAATTTAGCATAAATTGTAAAAAGGCTACTTCATATCTGCATTTCACCACATGCAGCATTCAGATATCCATTGGTTGAATGATGGATATACAATATTATTGATGGAAGAATAAGATGCAGACGTCATCTTTTATGAAAATTTTAAGTGAAATACTATGAGCCAAACACGTCATCCAGTAAACCAACTAATTTCAAATGTGTTGGAGTTCAAGTATGAAATAATTTCAAACCAGTCAATGCTCTTCTTATTTGGATGATGATGTGGAAATCTTTACTCCTTTAAATGCCCCGGGTTGTGTATTTTTTCCAACAGTGAAAATTTTATACTTGCAAAGTCTTGCAACTTTTGTACATACCAAAATCTTAGTCTCACTCTGGAATACTTGAAACAAATGGGATCTTTTCTGCTGAGGTCACCAAAGTATTTGGGGGCACATATTATCTGAAAAGACCAGTTTCATCATCTATTTAAATTTGTTTTGGAGATAACTTTTTGATGAATTCATCTGCAAACTGTTCAGCTGCTTCAGTATCAACTGAAGTTTTTTGCCTGAAATGTTTAATTACTTTAGACTATACCGATTTTCAAATTTGGTTAATAAACCCGTCAAATATAGGCACTCAGTTTTTGAAGTTCATTTCCTCATGTAATATTCTGGCTTGGCCAATACTGGAGCACTGAATTTGTCAATGGCCTATCCTCATTATGATGTTGCCTCACCCATTCAATCATCACTTTGTCATGATAGTACTTTTTAACACAAAGAATGATTTTTCTAAGTAGTGATTTTTGTGAGTAAAATGTCAGAATCCATCAAAAATTAAAAAGTTCCTTCCTCTGTCTTTTCATGAAATACACTGTTGATTCTCCAATGCCATACTCTTCGCACATTTTCAGACTATGCCTTTTTTTTTTTTTTTTTCAGCAATTCCATTTTATGCTTGGTTGACATTCATATGCAGATCCTGATGCAGCTCCAGAATTAAACTCTTTCTGATACAATTGAAAATTCAAACTTTAATTTTGCTAAGATAACTATAATGCAAAAAATAATAAGCTAGATCATATCAAAAAGTTAAGGGAAGAGTGCAATTTGTTCTACATTAACTGAAGTTCCTCAGAATTTACTTCCTTCTCTTTCTTCCAATGGTTTGCCACAAAAGGAGTTTGAGCAACATACCTCTCCAAAAAAATATGTCTTGGATCTTCACTTATTGTTAACATCAGACAGAAGCCTGCTAACTCTGCCCATAACCACTCAAGAGGTGAAAGTGTGGACTTGACCAGCGTGAAGTTCATTAGTCATAGTGTGGTTTACTTTACTAGCAGAAGTTTGGGAAGCATCATGCAAGAATCTGAGTTAGCTGGAAGAAATACTACTTTTAGAGAACACTTGTTTTTTTCTTGAGTATTATATTTTTCATTAGGCTGTGTCAGAAGTAGTCATAAAGGGCATAGAGGCATAGTCATAAAGGCATAAAATATGGGAATTCCGTTCACACTTGCGAGAACGGGTTGTAAGCCGTGGGCAATCAGAGAAGCTAAATTTGCACATACGTGGATGTGTCTACAACTTTCCCATGCTTGATTGATTTTCCGCGTTCGCTCTGCTTGTTTTGTGACAGCAAAATCTTCTGCAGAATGACGCTTCGTTTTAGCTTCGCTCTGATTGGTCGACGCTTATCCCAAACTCGGCATAAAGTTGAAAACTTTGAACCCTATGCCACGAGCCCTAAACCAGATTTTGTGATGTTGCACAGACTGGTTGCCTTGGCAACGGAGCTCGGCTTTAACCACTTATGCCCTTTACGCCCCTGTCTGAACAAAGCTTTATAACACTTTGGAAGGGAAAAATTGCTGATGGTCTGGATATTAGAACATTCCAGATACTGGATGTTTAGATTTCACACTTTGTACTAGGCTGCAAAATACAGTTGATGTGTCCTCAAGTTTTCCAAAAAGTTCGTAAAAGTGTCCAGATATCATATCACATTATACTTCATAGTAACATCATGCACTCCACATTGGTATCCTACAATGGTATCCTGTGATCTGCATGTCCAGAAGAATGAATGACAGATAAAGATGACATATTCATAGTATCTCTCACTACTGCATGTTTCTTCAAAAATATTGTTATCCTAGACCTGCCATTAATTATTATGCCTGTGGATGCACTACTGAAATTATTGATAACAACACTGCCTCACTTTATCATTGCTCTTATGTCCTGGACTGGATGATTCATCAGTATGAACAGCTGCCTTTCCTGAAGGTAAAGATATAACATCTTGAACCAATATGTTTAAATGGTTCAAGTGGGGTTCAAGCAATATACCTTATATACGTCTGAGGCAGAATACTTCCCAAACACTTTAGATTTACTTTGTGTATTCGCTGGTTATATATTTTTTATTATTTACATGTCAGGTTTTATCATTGTCAGGCACATTTTTTTTCTAGATTCACACACTTTTTTGACATGGAGAATATATATATATATATATACCACATAAAATATATAAGGAAAAAAGTGAAATGATGCATCTAATAAAAGGTATATACAAATGTGAACACTGATAATACTTAAGTAATGTATTACTTTGATAATATAACTTAAATTTCAGTACTGAAATTTTATGAATGAAATGAAATAACATATCACATACTGAAAAAAATACACATATTTTATACATTTAGCAATTCTACAACATTACTCTAACTCTTAGCAATAATTATATTTAAAGTACATTTCATCAAACAGCAAATATAATTAACTTATAATCTTTTGCTGAATACTTCATTATTATTTGAATCAGTTTTAAACATTCTTTCATTAGTATGTTAACTGACAACCACAACACTCATTAATATGAAAACTGAAACTTTAATGTCTTTGAAAATGTTTCAGTTTTAACAATCAAATTACAAATTTTCATAAAAGTTAACATTTTTCTAATAGGCAAACATGTATTATTGTTCTCATAGAAATTTTAAAATCATGAAATAAATCTTTGTTTTGAAGATGGCAAAGCATACTAGAATTATCTAAGTGAAGGTATGGGATGGCGTAACTAGCTTACATTTATATTATGAATGGGGAAAAGTATGAAAAACTCATGCAGGCAAGTTGTTCACTCAAATTAAATTAACTACTCAGCCACTGGTGGGTGTTAGAAATTTTGGTATTTTCTGATTATTTGCTTGCGTCCCTCTCGCAAAAAGTTGGCAAGGAGATGGTGACTAATTTTTTTGTCAAGCTAACACACAAAAGGAAACAGCTATTTTTAAAATGCTGATACACTAAGAATTTCATAAAAGAGTATTCAATCAATCAAAATTAAAAAAGTGAGAAATATCCATAATAAAACACTAATGTTTTTCAAGAAATCCTTATGAACTTTTTCCACAGTTTTTCTCATATATGAAGCACTGTGCTTTTACTTCAAAGAAACACCACATAATTGCACAAATCTGGCACTGTGCACACTGTTGTTCTCATGTACACAGCTATCTGCTTTTACGTAAAAAACAACAAAGAATTTCACAGATTCAGTGTTCTGCATTTTAACATATTGTTTGCAATTTTCCATATTGCATTGCCATAATATTTGATAATTTAAAAAGCCTACTATTATAGAATGCAAAATTTTTGCATTTCTAATGTTAAAACACCCTCATATTTCCGAAAAAAATGCAACACTGCTCTTTTTTTTTTTTTTTTTTTTTAAATCAGCTGGAAAACTTCACAGTCCCATTATGATTCATTACAAGGGAGGATGCATTAAATGCAAAAACAAACACTAATCAGAAAAATTACTGTCAGATTTGGAGGGCTCCGTTCCCATAACCAAGTTGTCACGTAAATACATTTTGGTGATGTCAGAGTTTGCCACATTCCTATTTTGGCAACATAGTGCAATGCCTCATTAATACTTTTTATTTTTTGGAAGAAGGAGCAAATTAGCAGAAAGAAATGAAATGGTAAAACTCTTGTATAATAATGAAATGATGAATATTCAGTGAATAGCTATAAATGAACTGTTTTAATTGTTGAGTGAAATATTCTAAACATCTTACATGCCTAAGATGCAAAATTATGAAATGAGAAAATAAAATATGTATAATTTCATAAAAGTAAGGAATGAAACTTCAGTGTCAATGCCTAAAAATTCATACACTATCTTATCACAACAATACTTTCTTGAATAGCAATTTTATAATGTTTTTTTAAAAATTGCTTTAATTAATTTGAATTGTTTTCTGAACAATTCAAATTGTATATATTACCAAAGCTCAATCTTTAGAATAACATAACAAAAATTTACTTGAGAATGCCAAGTAGATAGTAGTATATCATGAAAATTATTCAACCAATCTATAAGAGTTTCCTCTGGATCACATTCGACAATTTGTTTCCATTGCTGAATGAGTTGATTCTGAGGAGGGGATAAAAGAAAGAAAAGAAACAGTAATGAGTAATTGCAGTACAAAATTTTATTAATATGAAGGTCATATTTTATAATACAAACTTACTATAAATTTTAACTAAAATTTCCAAATAATTTTGAAAAAAATAAATAAATAAAATAAAAACCCAAGCTTTTTCCCCCCTAGTTCATCAATATATTAATTTTTATTTTATTATCACTATGCTAAATTTAAGTGTAAAAACTTGATAAAAAACTGAATCTAGTAATAATGAGACTATTTTATTTAGTATTTTTATATCTTTTAATCTATTATTTCCTTTTTGAAAAAGTCTGTTTCTTATGAAGACAATGAAGAGAGTTAACAGAATTTAGATACAAATAAAGATGCAAAATTATTGGTAAACATTATTTTATAAATTTACATAGTTCATCTATAATATATAATTTAAAAAAATTGTTATATATAACTGATAGCAGACAGAAGAATTATATAAATACAATGAACAGTTTATAAGTTTTAAATGAATGCCAAAGATGTAAATATATGGTTCACGAAGAACTTTTAAATCCATTTTTTACAGAAATGAGTAAAATAAATTGTAATAAATAATTTACTTTTTACTATTTATCAAGTATTAAAAATTACTTTTTAATCTTAAAATAAGGTGCTTTATGAATATCTATAAGAATTCTCATGAAATCAGTAAAATGATGTGAAGATTCAAAAACTTTGTGGGCAATAATAATTTATATTTTGTATTAGACTCAATAAGATGAATACAGTTAGACAGTAATAAATGTATAAATAGTGGATAATATGGTATTAAATAATAAACAACTAAAATAAATTATATTTTGCAATTTAAAATTTTCAACAATAAAATTAAAACAGTTAAGCTGATAATTTTATGAACATCAGGTAGCAGAAGAGTGGCATTCATACTCTGGTTATGAACTGTTTTATCCTGGCTGTTTAGAGCCACAGAAAAAATGTGCTTATTCAGGCAATTGCAAGTCTACAAAATTATCATTCTAATACCTTTTCTTCAATTTTCTTCGCCCCACAAACAATTTTTGTCCTTATGTGAAAATCATGAAATTCCTTGTTTTCAAATGCAAGGAAAAAAAATCAGAGTCCATTATTATTTATATATATATATATAATAAAAAAAAAAAAAAAAAAAAAAAAAAAGACGCCAATGCAATGCCAGTCTGGCCTTAACACCTTTTCAAGCAGCTACACAACTTTGAAATATCAAGGAAAAAAATATAAAAATAAGTGGATATAATAAAGTTAAACATTCCTTAAAAGCATTTTTCTTCTTACCTTTTGAAAATTGTGATAGTGCTTCTGTAGAGTACTAAGTCTTCTCAGATCCTTAAAGATCTTCATGTACATCAAAGCAACGTCAGTAACTTGAAATAATTGTACATAGATATTATTTAAAAGTAATCTTTGAAACAAAGTTTTATATTTAAAACAGATAATTTAAAAATCTAAAAAAAATTATATTTAAAACAAATCATTTAAAAATCTAAAACAAATTTTAAATAAAACTTAAATTAAAAACATTTGGATATAAGAAATAGAATGCCTTTATCAAATACCAACCAGAAAGCCATAAACACCTTTAAAAAAAGATTAAGTAAATTAAAATAATGATTGCAACTGTAAAATTACCTTAGAAACCACTACTTGATTACACACTCAACAAAAGTAAAATTAAAATACTATACAATATAGCATAATATTTATGTGGCCCATTATTTCTGAAACTATCCAGCCACAGATATATCTTTTCATTACAAAAATATTTTGAATAAGGAAAATATTCATGCCATGTCATTTTAAAGTTTAAAGGATCGATTTTGTAAAAATTATGAAATTTAACTTTCTATATGCCCCCAGTGTCTTCATTGTTATATTCAATAAAAGTTAGTATTCATTCTAAATATAAAACACAAAAAGTTTGATTCCCATGTGATAAAAATGCAAAAAGGAATCAATCAGAATACTCTTTCAAGAGGTGTGATAAGAAAAATTATATACGAGTCTCTTAGATTTTGTAATGCAGGGTACTCTCAACCAAAATTAGGCTAATACTAGGTAACATACTATATTTTATATGTGTCTGACCTAATTAAATTATCCGGTCCAGTTCATGGTATAAAGCTCTTGTAAATTTTAGATTTAAGATGTTGTTTTAAATAGGTTTTTAACACTGTGAACATTTGAGAAGTTATTATAGGAATATACTTCTTGTTCAATTACAATCCCTTAACTCTTTACTGACCAAGCAAATAGTCAACTAACTGACATTAATACAAAGCTAACATGTAGATCTACTTATCCTCTTTCAACAAGAACATTAAAAATAATCCATGTTGCTTTTGCAACCTGATTATAACTTGCATTTACTTATTATATGTAAATAATTACTTATTATATCTTTGACAGTATCAGGGTAACATGTCAGATATAAAGAGCAATGCAGCAATTTATATTTTAGTTAATCAGTTTTCAACTTGGAGAAAAGGATAATAAAGCAATTTGAAGAAAGGAAAATGATATTATTTTAATATTATTAAAGATAAGAGGAGCAAAATGATTAACAGCATGGACTGATTAACTATTGGAGATATAAAATAATATTACCAAGTGACTGTGTATTAAAAGCAGCTATTAGGCGAGGACTAATCATGGCTTCCAATCTGTCTTTTAAATTTTCTAAACGAAAGCATCTTTCCTGATAATCTGGAACATCAGCTAATATTTCCTAAAAAATTGGAAATATATAGGCAAAAGATATGACCTCTTACAAGGATACTAACTACCAAATTAACAATATATTAATGGGAAACATAAAATTGCAACTTATGGATACTTTATAAAATGTTTATTATTTATAAGTATTAGCTATAGAATACTTATATAAATATTTAGAAAAAAAAAAAAAAAAAAGGGAAAAGAAATTATATGATCTATAAAACAAAAATATTTTTCCTCCTTTATTTTTTATGTACAGTGCATGATTTTTTTCTAATATTAATTTTTATACATATTCATAGTTAGAATGCTGGCCAAGAAGTTTGGGCACTGCAACAGGTTTTTAGCATGATCATTCCTTACATTGCAATGAAGTTTAAAAATTACAAAGAATAACACATTTGTTTTAGCATAAAATTGTGCAGTTTGTAAAATATATATTGAAGCTTCTGAAAAACAGACATTTAAATAATAATAATAAAAAAAAGCAACATACAAAAATGATTATAGGCTAGATCTGAAAATATTTCCAAACATATGTTAACCAGAGCTATACCACAAAGGGAAACTAATGACCATAAAAAGTGGAGGGGGGAGGATACAGCTGGTTGGGCATCACTTTACATAATTGGCCACCTATGGGCGATTATGCAAATTTTTAAGAGTATAGCAGATATGAAAATCATGTATGATAGCAGTATTTCCTAAAAGTGATATAAGATGAGATAGTCTTCAGTTGGTGTTCAATCTTTGCAATTTTATTTATTCACATGTTTTATAGAAGGGAACAGTATGTCTGTTGAAGAACAAAACAGCAGTACAACTAGATTTTAAAGTGTGATTGAGGAATCATTCTGACATCATGAAAACATGGATTTTTCTATTGAGAAATTAACACTTATGTTGAAAGTAGTGACGAGAATATAGCTTCAGCAGACTGAGGACAGATGAATCCCCTAGTAGTATGAGCAATCATGCTATTAAGACACAAATAAATAACAGAGCACACATCTAACTCAGATGCAAGATAATCATATAGACACAACAGAACCTTATCTTAAAATTGAGTTTTTGATATAAAATCAGTGTTCATACATAATGATGAAACACTATCCGAAGCAGCAGAGATCTCTGGTAAGCAGCTATTGTTTTGGCCTCTATTGATTTCAAAACACAGGTATCTAAATTGCAGAGGTATCAAGAAGATTAAACATAGACAAGCAAAAGTCACTGCATTATCTTTTAAACAAATCCCGCTTCATTTTCAGCATAGCAGTCAATAAATTCCTGTTTAGCAGTACCATGGTAAAAACTTTGTACAACATGCTTGACACAATATCATATGGGGTTTACACCTAGTATTATAGAATGCAGTATCATACCCTCCACCATTCATACCTTGTATGCATTACCAGCAGTTCATAAACAAGGTGTCAAAATTTGTGATTGTATCTGATTTTCAAAGCACCTCTGAGCAAGTTTATGAACAAAATAATGCATTACAGTGCGTTATATCTGAAAATGTTTGGATAGCTACGAGTATCTTGTATCTCTGTAATCTGCATGTTCCCTGAACTTTTTGCCAACCGAATTTATTTAATCTATGACCATGAAACAACTAGCAACCAGACACAAGCATCAGTCAACCAGTCAGCACAAATAAACTTCATTTTGTGTTAAACATATAGAGATATCCGAACCAGGGAATTATTACTTTATCTTCTTTATGACATATCAAGTACAAATGCTTACTGTGATCTATTGTGGCTACAAGAAATATTAAGTACTTTGAGATTATTATCTGACACTTATTTGTATAACTATTCATTTTTGAAAAGAAGTTAAACTTTTGATAAATGTAATTCCCTATTTCTTGTCTTCCAAGCACTACTTTTAACTGTAATGAATGTATTATGTGCATGATGCCTCATGCCCTAACATTAAATTCTGAGGCATTCCTTAAACATAACAACACACATATGGTACAAATGCCAGTTTTATATATGTACTTCAGCTCTTTCCTACACATAGCTAGTTATGTTTTAATTTTTTAACTTATTTTAAAAGTTACAATATTTACAAAAACATAACACATTTTGTTACATCTATGATGTATTTTTTATTTTCTACCTGCATCTTACACTGCATAAGCACCCAGCACTACAGTTTTAAGCAATACATAAGTACTTATTACAAAATTTTGCAAATTTATTCTTATAAATTACACTTAAATTTAAAAAAAAATATTTAAGCAATTTAAAAATAAATTATTGATGACTAAGTGCATCTAGTGTACTGCAGGAGCCTATGTTTCAAACGCATACAACATCACAGATCAAAAGAATAGTCCAAAAAGACCATTTGTATTTAGGAAAAATTAATTATTAAGCAAGAAAATAAAGGAAATGTTCTCAAAGTGTGCCACCTTAGCCTTCTGAGTAGCATGATCACTTTATATGTAATGAGATTTTTTCCTGCATTGCATCGATATGGTATAATTCAAAATATTTTTCTTTCTTGCATTTTTATATTGCATCATCTTACAGGACAGGTTATCAGGTTCAATGTTTCTTCTAACCTTCTTCGGAAACATACAATGACCTGACTAGGAACAGAGAGCTTACTAAAGCTATGTTCACTAATTGTAGTAAGTAGACAGGATACAGACGAAGGGTATACAAAGACCCTTTATTTTTCTTTATATACAATGACTTCCGTACTTCGGAATACAATGACCCTCCACTCGGGGTCTAACGTAAAAGGTATAAAAATAAAACTAAACTCTAATTTAACTTTAGAATAAGATTGGCCTTATAATAACAGGAAGCGTATGTAGCACAGAGACTGTGAACACTACAATACGTTTAATTTATCAAGAGGATTAAAACCTCTGGCCTGGAAGGCAAATAGCAACTGCGTAACTTCTAAGGTAAGCGGCCTGCTTCGAACTCACTGCTTCCTTCCTCTCCTCCTGCTTGGCAAAAAGGGCCACACTTAAATACTTGGCATTCGCCAGACAACTTTGCATAAAATCCTTCACGCTTATAATTCTGGCCGGAAGTAGAAAATAAGAAGTGATAGTAAAGATTTAAAATAAAATAAACGTTAGTAAAACTTAAGATCCTTACAAGGTGACAGGTGACGGAGGACGGGGACGCCTGGCATATAACATAGGTAAACAGGCATATGTCCCACGTCCTCCACTATCTCGAAGAAGCAGCTCGCTGGAGCCCCGTGAGGCTGCACCGGGAGTTTACATGGCCATACAGGTGCTAGATGTTGGGTAGTTTTTACATAGGACGTTGTTAATAACACAAAGTAACTTAAAAAAGAATATAAAGGATAGCATTAAAGCACTAAAACACTCATATAAGCTGAAACACATAGATATACAAAATTAAACGTAAAAGCATAAAAACACCACTCGTATTATGTAACATAAAGACATAAAAACACACACGAGAATACATATCATGACACATAGAATACATATGGAAACACGTAGAGCACATAAATGCAAATATTACACACAGAAGAAACATATGAGACATAGTAACGTGTGCGTAAAGCAGTAGCGCTGTGCGGAAATATGCTCAGTTCACATAATACATAATGTACATACTTTCATTAGGGGCTTCTTTTGCATGAATTACATATTTCGTTGCATACACTACATTCGTGCATTGTACGGATATTATATATTTCGATTTACGATAACACATCATTCCATTGGGTGCCCAGTGCTTTACACTGATAAACATGTCAGTAACATTATTTCTGCAAGTTGGTGGCTATTGAAAGCACATGTTAACACGAGGCTCGAAATTGAATGTGGAATGTGTATTACAGAATGTGTACATACTGCGAATATCTAATCGTTGAGTATATTGTCTGCAGTACCATGCTACTGTGGCTCGCAAATGTCTTGCCCTAGGGCATTGATTTTCTGTACAACTGCGCAGATACTCCTTATAGCTGGCGGGTGTTTTTGATATGAAACGATAGTAAAGTGTTCTATCATTCGTTGGATGTGGTAAGTGGTGGTTTGTTGTTAGACCCGCAGTCAAATAGGTAGTGCTCGGGAGAACCTAGCATGCCACAGACACAATTGTCAGATGCTGAGATGCCATGACGCATAAATAAGATGGAAATGGGCCATGACCCGTTATGTACTGTGTCAGTGGGGCTATTGTTATAAGACGTTCCGTGTCTACCTTTGGTAGGAAGTTATATGTCCTTCTCCCTGTGTCGCAACTATTCCATTCTTCTTGCCACTTTTCTTTACAGATATTATGCAGAGTTTTCTTGAGGAGTGAGACGGGGGTAGGGGCTCTTATAGTTTGAGCGTGGATGTTGTTGGCAGCCTCATTAGCCAGTCGGTCTGCGACGTCATTCCCTTCGTTGTCGGAGTGTCCTTTCACCCATACCATGTTAAAGCGGGCTTGATGATTATTGCGTAAAAGTTGCTGTATATCCTATGATGATGGGTGAAGTGTGGTGATGATCCCTGAGTGCGTGTAGCACTGACATGCTGTCCGTGTAAAAGTCGCATTGGTAAGGGAAAGGTTGAGGGCATATCGTAGCGCATTAAATATTGCTAGTGCCTCTGCTTGGAAGATACTATTGCTGTTAGTGAGATGTCCTTTCCATTCCTTTACTAGTGTGCCATGTTCGTAGTGAGCAAACGCGCAGCCCACTCCCTGATCATGTTGATCCATCAGTGAACAGTTGTGTAATCGCAGAGGAAGTGTGTTGTCTGGAGTGCGATTGCTGATGTTGGATTTTGACATGGATCCCTCTACCTTTGATGGCGGGGTGGATGTGTTGCACACTGCCAGGGAGTTCATAGTCTGTTGTTCTGAACGTAATTCCTGCATATGTGGCTTCTTGTCTGTGATGGGTGATTCGTACATAGGTAGCCTCTGCCTCTGCCTTTATGTGTAATGGCAGCAGGCCTGCAAGTATCGTGGCGGCGCTGGACGCTGTTTGTGCGATAACCTCAACCTCAGCAATGTTTAATGCAAACGGCCGTTGAATTGTGGTCAGTAGCTTGGTCTTTCGGCTGCTCATTGGTTGTGCCCATATGACTGCTGCGTAGAGAATTATTCTCTCTGCCACTGTTAGATACAATAGTTTCCTGATATGGGGGTTTTGTCCCCAATTTCTCCCTTGAAACTGCCTGGCTTTCCTTGCGATGGTCGATGTTTTTGTACGTATTTCTTGGAGGTGCGGTAACCAGGTGAGTCTTTGATCCCAAGTGACTCCTAGATATTTAATCGTCTTCGTTATTTTTAAGTTCTTGCCCAGTAGCTTTATACATGGACGTCTTGTGGGATTTATGCCAGGACGTGGAATTACGATGGCTGCGGACTTTTGTCGAGAGATGATTAACTTAAGTTTATTGCATAGGTCCGTGAATATCGAGCAGGTTTCTGTGGCATTCCGTTCCAGTTCATCTCTTGTGCGGCCAGACACCAGAAGAGCTACATCGTCGGCGTATGCTATGATATCTGTGTGCAAAGGCCATTCATGTTTGTAGTATGGAGTTAAAGGTGATTATCCAGAGCAACGGACCGGCGCAAGAGCCTTGTGGACACCCTCTTTCCTGCCGCTTGATAGTGAGGCCACTGTTGTTGGCTACTATGAGGCTACGTGCATGTAGATAGTCCGTGATAATGTTAAAGATGTTTTGGGACATTGTGCCTCTCTAAGTGCTTGCTTTATAGCAGGCCACCAGAGGGTGTCAAAGGCGCTTTGCAGGTCCAGGGATATGAATGCCGTGTGAAGATTTCTGCCTCTATTTTGTTCTATGCTATCTTTAAGATGACTCAGGGCATGCGTGGTTGACAAGCCAGTTCGGAACCCACATTGCCGTGGGCTGAGGAAGTTGGTCTGCTGGAGATGGAATTTAAGTCTGTTTACCAGTAATTTTTCATAAATTTTTCCCAGAGACGAAAGTAGGCAAATTGGCCGAAACAAGCTTGGGTCATCTGGGGATCTCTGCTTCTTCAGGAACAGGACCACTTCTCCTTTTTTGAAAGCAGTAGGGAAGATCTGGTATTTTAAGAGCTTGCCGAAATATTTCTCGAAGAAGGTAGGGCGGGATGTGTAAGCCACCTTTATTATTGTATAGTCTAGACCGTCTGGCCCCGGAGCCTTTTTTATGAGAAGAAAACGGAAGATTTGCTGTATTTCAGCTAAGTCAAAGAGTATGTCGTCTGGTGTGTTAGGAATGGAATGGTTGTCCCGTATCTTCTGTTGTTCTGTTGAGTCATCATCCGGGTTATCTGCTAGGAAGATTGCATTAAGGATAGCAGATGCTGTGGTTTCTGCAAGATTGGTGTTGTCTGAGTTATTGGCTGATTGGGCATAAAGCTGGTCAGGCTTGTAAAGTTTATTTGTAGCTAGTTTATGCAGGATTCCATAGACGTTGGTATTAGCTGTGCAAAATTTCCGCCAGCTTTTGACTTTGGCTAGTAGTATGCATTTTTTATAATGCGCTCTTTCCCTGCGGAATGTGGTCAGCAATGCCATTTTCGTGGCTTCGTCCATTACACCTCGGAGACGCCGTCTTAGGGCTCTGCACTTTTGCCGTAATTGGCGTAGTTCCTTAGTCCACCAGCATATGCCTTGTATGCGTTTAGCAGTGCGAGTCTTCAGGAGCTTGTCGCAAATACATCGCAATGTATTGAGGAGATGATCTGTATAAGTGTCTAATTCCTCTGGGCTGTTTATTTGGTCTATTACTTCTTCTTCACTCTGTAGGGTATCCGAGAAAGCCTTTGTTAATGCACGCAGTTTATTGCCTGGGATCTTGTAGTGCTTAAGGATAGTGATGCTTGTATCGGTATTAATTGCAAAGTGGATATATTTATGATCAGAGCAACTCTCGTCGTCTGTGACCCTCCAATCTGTTATATTGTTGGCTATGTTACTTGTAGCTATTGTTAACTGTACCATCTTACAGGACAGGTACAGCTAGAAGCATCTTTGTAATAGCACAGAAGATTCAGAGATTGCTGTATAGTTCGACCGTCTCAAACACAACCTTGGCTGGCATTCTGCCAAAACACATAGACTCATCCAAAAGGGGCATTATTACTTGTTCTGATGTGAAAGGTCACGTGAAGACCTCTGGAAAGACAGAATTTATATACTCGAGGGAATAAAAGTCTCCATACTTCCAAGCATGCGTTTTTGTGCTCATGGTCACGGATGAGGCAGTCGAACTATACATACTATACTTAACTAACTGATAACTGATAAGCTTTCACATCAGTTTTTGAAATTTCGAGGGAGAACATCCCAGGGGTGGGAGTCTAAGGATCTCTCATCTCTCTTCCCCAACCAACAACCTCTTAAGAGGATTTCAGCTTACTGTGTATTTTGAGAGCCCTTTACTGCACAGACACTACATGTTTACAAACAGCCATACCTTCTCCGGGATTTGAACCCAGGCCTTTTAGTGCAGCAGTCAGTGTCACTAACCACTCTACTATCTGGGCAGCCATCTCAGTTAGCATACATTCATAAAAACAAAGAGTAAAGTTAGTAATTATACTAACCTAACTAATAGAAGTAATATACATACAACTATTTATGAAAAGCTATGAAATAATAAAGCTCTAAATAATGATTAAAAAATCAATATTTTCAAGTTGTAGGAATTTCTGAAGTACCAGCTTAGGATTTTATAGTCTACATTTCAAACAAATTACAAAAATGATACAAATATGAAAATAATAAGCAACAGCATTAACAGATGTGATTCTTTCTAGGACAATGCCAAGAATAATTTCTCTTCATTTCTTTTTTTAAACAGTCTGTTTTATTAAGCTTACACAATTAAAGCTGTAATTATTACACATAACTAAACTGCTTTCAAAGTGTTCAAGCCCTAAAAAAGTCTGCAAATTGTTTATAACATGCCCCCCAACCCAAAGAAACACAATTTAAACCTAAATTTTTTTATAATGACTGAATTCTTAAACTAATTAAATTTGTGCACAGCAATTATACACACAATGAATATATATAACCACAACAAATGTTTCATTATCTTACCAAGCTATTTTGCATTCCAACTAGCTTCATTGCGATCTGAAATAAATAAATCATTATATATGTAAAATAAAATACAGCACATTATAAATATTCTAATACTGAAAAAAACGTAATTTCAAAATAAAAATGAAGTTTATTTACAGCATTGATGTCCCCACTATCAAAAATCTCTTCAACATCAGCAGATAAAGTTGTCCAATTGTCTGCTTCCTAGAAGATTAGGAAACACTTTTTACTGAATATTAAATTATAAAATTGCTTCTCACTTAATAATCCCTTGTAATGAATCAGTTACAAAAAATAATAAAAATTAAAAATAGTTTTTGTTTGAAAGTGATTAAAATGATTTGTTTTCTGCAGAACTATTCCTACATCTAAAATGTATTGTTATCCAAAATGATTTTCACATAAAATATTGACATTCTATGAGGCAAATGATCAGTCTGATTTATTTTCTCATGGACTGAGCTAAAAGCAAATTTAATTATCATTATCCAACTGGATTTGGTACTCTTCTGTTATGAAGCACAGATTCAGACATGTATGTATGTATGCATGTATGAATTGGATGTATATCCATATATTATATGTATACACATACATACATTTGCATGTACACCTTGCACAAACAAAAATGGAACAGTTCTATATCTACTGTTCTACTGGACCGATTGTCAAAATTTAACTTACATTTTTCATGTCTCGAAAGTGAGACTTAGGACACACATATAGATTTCTAACTTAGGTATTTTGACACAAAATTGGACTTTTTCTGAAATAACATATAATTTTTTTTATACATTTCTATTTTACACCTTAAATTATGCCAAACTGCCAAGTTTTGTAAAAATTGCACGAGCAGTTTTTAAAAAAAATTAGCTTTTAAAATTTTAGCTCCTCCATGTTAACTGAATTTGGTATGTATCTGATAATCTCTCTTTTTTTTTTAATTAAACTTATTTCATTCTTACTTTCACATTTTGAAATTTAGTTTCATTCAAAATAAAATTTGCCCATTTTTTTTATGATTTATTTTTAAGATTTGTATTTTCAAACAATTTTTATAAATTTTTGTGAAAAATTTTGAACTATAATCTACAAAACTTTTACCATCATCTTAAAGTAGATGCATTTCTAAGCATACCTGCAAAAAATTACATTCTTTTATTCAAAATTTCCTAAGATAAATTTGAATTTACATATTGGTATGTTTTGAAATTTGGCATATTTGTTATAAGTGATAATAATGCCAAATATGGTTTACACACTTTGTTAAAATCATTTGAAAGTATGAACAATGACTTTTTTTCTGCTCATGTGCAAAGAAAAAAAGGAAAGGAAAATAGGCTGCTATAAATTTTTAAAGAAGAATATAGTTCGGCAAGTGAATTAAAAAAGTGTGGCAAGATAATTTTTAAAACACATTCCTTGCCAAAAATTATAAAATAGGTATAATTTGAGTCGTAGAATCAAAATATAGAAATAAATTGATATGTTATTTTCAGAAGAAGTCATATTTTGTGTCAAAATACCTATGTTAGAAAACACTATACATAAATCTAATATATATATATATAAACCTAATATATATAAGCCATGCTTTCCATGACTGGGACATCTAGAACTGTCCCATTTTTTTGTGAAAGATTACATATACAAATGCATACATGAACACATCCTACATACATATTCCATACATGCATTTCTGAATCTGGTCCTGATAACAGTAGATTTGATCAATATGCACTTGAATAATGCCATATTGTTACGGATTTGGTATTTAAATAGCTAATGTTAGTTGAATTATAAATTAAATTGTTTTATTCCCTGTGCAGTGTAGCACGTGATAAATATTAATGGAAAGGTAAGCCAGAAAATTAAAAATACAAGAGCACATGCATTTAACATTTAATAAATAAATATCTCTTTTTGATTTCGAGAAAATACCAGAAAGTTCTCGCACATTTAAAAAGCTTATATAAGCTGCATGAAAACCTCTCAATTCGTTGTTGTAGTTAGTTTGTTGTTGTTTTAAGAGTTTGTTTAGAAAACTGCTCTTGTTGACTGTCACGAATTCGCGGATTAGTTTTCTTTAGCTGTTTTGAATTAAGTTCTCTTGAACGTTTGAGTAGTTAAAAGATAACTACTGTGAGATATTTTAATACTGCACGAATATCTGAGGAGAATTAAGCATTTTTGTTGTGCTAATAAATTTTGTTCATTTTCTTCAGACTTGTGCATTCAATTCTAACGAACTCGTACACACGCAACAATTTTTGGTGTCAGAAGTGGGATTTGAATGCCAATAACAAGAGCGATGGAAGCACAATTCAGGCAGCTCATCAGTGCTTTTGCTGTGTTCCAAGAAAAGATTGAAGCTAGCCAAGCATCCTTTAAAGAAGAGATTAAAGCGGCACAGGAAGCCGTTAAAGAGAAAATGGATGCTGGTCAAAATCCGTTAAGGAAGAGATGAAGGCTATTCAAGCTGTTCAATTAACTTTTAAAGTCAAAATAAAAGTTGTTAAGGAATCTGTTAAAGAAGAAATAAAAGCTGTATACGTAAAGATTGAAGAAAGTCAATACAAAACGAAAAGAGAAATTGCCTGCATAATAGAAACCAAATTCGATGCTATGGAATTCAGAATAGATGTGGTTGAAAATAAAGTGGGACAAATTGAGGAAAAAGTTTCTTCTGTCAAAGAAGAAATAGAAGGAAGAGTTTGTTCCGTTCAAAAACAAATCGAACAACAAATTGATGACCGGGTTTCTGCGGTTGCCAAAGAAGTGGATACTTTAAAGAAATTTGTAGCGACAGCAGAGAGCAATTCGGATGGTTTTAAATTTTTACCAATGCCTGCTCATCCCTCTCTGAAACTATCTACATATGATGGGAAGACCTCCTGGGCAAGTGTATAAGACACAATTTTCTATTGTTGCAGATGTGAATGGATGAGATTCCGAAACTAAGGCCTGTCATCTCGCCACTTCTCTGAAAGCAGATGCAGCAGATATCCTGCAAATGCTTCCAGAAAACCACAGACTTGACTTCGAAGCTCTATCCGGTGCATTGGAGCTGCGCTTTGGCGAGAAATGTTTAAAAGACTACAGCAGGCTTCAATTAAAATCCCATCAACAGAAGCCTGCTGAATCACTCCAGGAACTCGCCACGTATGTTGAAAGGCTGTCCCACCTCATCTTTACGGAGCGCCCGAGAGAAACGAGGGAAATCCTGTCCCTGCAGTACTTTATCGATGGCATCCAGGATCCCAAAATACAGAAGGCTCTACGAATGGCGGATGTGAAGGATATAAAAAAGCGCTATATTGTACGCTGTGAAATTTGAGGCAGCCCAGCAAGCAACTCAGAGAGATCACTACCCAATCAGAGCTCTGAGAGTCCACGAGCCAGTGGATCAATTGATGTCTCGGTTAGATGATTTATCCAGACAAGTTAATGCTTTGATACAGAGTAGGAGAGAGAACGAAGTGACCGTAAGGTTTTAGAAATGTGGTATTGAAGGGAACATACGATGACATTGCAGAACACCCCAGGACACGGATAATAAAATGTATGATTTGACAAGACCAGTGAATGCGTTGAGACGGAATATTGGTGAGAAGAAACCGGCCCTAAAGTGCTGGAACCGTGGTGTTGAAGGCCACGTACGAAAGAATTGCAGAACACTCCAGAGTACGAAAATTGAGACCATTTCTCAGCAACGATGCAGGAAACAAATTAATGACCATATCAAGGAACGGATGTTGCCAGATAATGAAAACCTTATCTTAAAGCGCTCAAGATTTCTACAGTGAATGGCAACAATAACAGACTGTCCATCAATAGGCATATCGATGGAGTTCCTTGCAATATGATCATTGATACAGGATCTAATTTTACCACCATTCGGAGAGATTTAGCTCAACAGTTTAAAGATAAACTTGTTTGGACACCACCCTGTGTTACCCTTCAGACTGCATCTGGTGATAAGATCGACATAGCTGGGAAGTTAAACATGAACATCATGTTTGGAAGTGCCGCCTACCATCACACGGCATATGTGGTGGATATTACAGATCCATGCATACTTGGATTGGACTTTTTAAGGAAATAAAATTTTTCCTTAGACTTCAAAAACAACAAACTGCTTTCAGCATCTGATGACATGATTATCCATTCTCAGAAAGGATCCTCACCCGAAAACACTGACACCTTATCTGAAAGATCCAACTCAGAAAGTTGCCGAAATCATACTAGGGTTGGAAAGAAACACCAGACTACCAGCTATTCTCCATCCCAGATGCTCTTCGGTCGAGACCTTCGTCAGCTTTACAAGCCTTGGTCGCCCTACAGATGTACCTTCATCGCCTGAGGTTTACATACAAGATGTCCAGGCCTGGTTTGAAGTGATGCACTGTTCCGCATGAAAGTGAGTCAACTTGGCGACGGAGAAAGTGAAGACCAGATACAGCACGAGAGCTACTGGACATAGATTCAACAGAGGAGACAAGGTGTGGTTGTGGAACCTGATTCGACGAAAAGGAGTCAGGCCTGAATTACAGACGCATTGAGATGATCTGCACACAGTCCTAAACAGGCTGAATGACGTCGTGGTTCGGATCCGTAAGTCTTCGGACTCTAAACCTAAAGTCGTTCATTATGACAGGTTAGCTCCTTACTATGGCCATAGTATGTAATGTAAATAATTGTAAATAGTGTAAGACCATGGTCTTTTTTTTTTTTTTTCTAAATGTGTATTTCATTTGACTTGTATTTAGTATTTGATTTTAGTATTTGATTTATATTTTGTATTTGATTTGTTTTAGTTACTGCATTTATGCCATAGTTGTAAGTTTGGCTTCCTGTCCAGGGATTGTACTACCCGGGACGTGCAGTTTTTGGAAAGGGGGCAGTGTTACGGATTTGGTATTTAAATAGCTAACATTAGTTGAATTATAAATTAAATTGTTTTATTCCCCATGCACTGTAGCACATGATGAATATTAAAGGAAAGCTAAGCCGGAAAATTAAAAATACAAGAGCACATGCATTTAACATTTAATAAATAAATATCTCTTTCTGATTTCGAGAAAATACCAGAAAGTCTCGCGCATTTAGAAAGCTTATATAAGCGGCATGAAAACCTCTCAATTTGTTGTTGTAGTTAGTTAGTTTGTTGTTGTTTTAAGAGTTTGTTTAGAAAACTGGTTTTGTTGACTGTCGCGAATTCGCGGATTAGCTTTCTTTAGCTGTTTTGAATTAAGTTCTCTTGAACGTTTGAGTAGTTAAAAGATAACTACTATGAGATATTGTAATACTGCCCGAATATCTGAGGAGAATTAAGCATTTTTGTTGTGATAATAAATTTTGTTCATTTTTTCTTCAGACTTGTGTATTCAATTCAAACGAACCCGTACGCACGCAACAATATGATGTGTTATTTCAAAAAAGTATGATTTTGTGTCAAAATACCTATCTTAGAACAATGCTATATATAAATCTAATATATATCCTATGTTGCACCAGCTGATATTTTGCGCAAAATATGCTTTCTCATAAACTATAATGCATGGTTTGATTATGGAATTTATTGTGTCAAAATATTTTTCTGTTATTCTGAAGTATCATTTAGAAGAATGTCAGCTACTTAGAAATAACAAATTCAAGTAGAAGAGACAATATGGCTATAGTCTTTGCCCTCTGGAAATAATTCAAAGTCAAGATAATTATTAGAAAGTGAAAGCAGTATCAAAAATAACTTTCTCTTTGTAGAAAATTTTAAATCCCCAAAATAACTGCTAGGAAGTGATGACAGTACCATAAAAGAAAAACTGTTCCTTAAGATTTCTTTTTGGCTGTAACTGCTTGTTGCAAGGGGAAATTCATTGCTAAATAGCCTTAGAAACTGACACTTTTACTGAAACATTTTTATCACAGCAAACCGTATACAGAGAGCTTAACAAAAAAAGTTGTACTTTCTTATTATTTGCACCCCCACCAAAAAGATGCGAAAAAGTATTCATGAGGCAAAGGAGTATGTTACCAAAACAGCTACATGGTAATCCCCAATGTTGTCAAAAAGTGTTTATTGTATGCATGCGGCACATATCTATTCTGGTCACCGAGTAATGCTAAAATTGTAAGAGTGCTGAATTTGTTAAGAAAAAACAGATTGTTGTCTACATGGGGAAAACAACAGTGCAAAATATAATGATGTTTTCTATTACCAATGTTTATTGCTTTTTAATTTCATTGAGTGATTACTTTTGTGTGGAATTCTTAGCATGCTACCATTTTTAAGATGGGTTTCTCCCCAAAATTAAATTATGTGTTCTATTACCAATATTTCTTGCTCTTTAATTTTATTCACTGATTACTTTTGTATTGAATTCTAATTATGCTACCATTTAGCTCTAGGCTCTAGCCTTTTGTGCACTAGATTGGTGAAGCATTAATTGATAATGAGTTGCAACTTTTCTGTGGGGGTGCAGATAATCAGAAAGTATGAAAAAGCCTTTAACTGTTTTGGGACAATCGTCCCATACATGCATTCCCTACAAATGTCTCACAGCTTGTCATGTCATCCATACATTGCTGGAGAATGAGCTTAATAGATGGCTGATGCTTATATATGCATTTTAAGCTGAAAACATTTTTTAAGCTGAAACAATTTTAATAAACAATTTTAACAATTAGATGGTGCTCAGCCAAACTTTTAAATTTATTGTTTATTATAATATTACTGATGGATCTCATCAAGAAGTTTAATTTGAAAATGTGTTTTACTAGAGATGAGATATTTGCTATTTTGTCTTTTAACAGAGTTATATATAGAAGATGTGTTTCTTAACATTTAAGAATTCTTTCATTCAGGACCTGATTTAGATTTGAAGAGATGCTAAGCTATTTGAAATATGGGGCCTTTTATGAGGGATATAAATCAATTTTATCATATGGGATATGGTACAATTTTGGAGGGTGGCCCCAAGAAAGTGAGGGCCCTAAGCTATAGCTGGTGCAGCTTGTACGTAAATCCAGCACTGCTTTCATCTCATCTCAGACAAGAGTGTTAAAAAGTTGGATATGCTAGGAATAATCTCACAAAATCTAAAAAATAAATTTAAAAGAACTACCTATCCAAGGAAAATATTTGCATAGATGAAGCCCTTTTTGCTTGGAAAAGACATCTTCACTTTTGTCAGTATGTTTCATCCAAAAGATCACATTACAGAGTAAAAATATGTAAGATATGCGAATCAGTTACCAGTTATGTATGGAACTTTTTTAATTTATTGAGTTAAAGACAAAGAAATGTTAAGAAGCTGTGGATCTTATGGAGAAAAAGTAATGAAAATATTGATCAGCGGCTTTACTGAAAAAGGGTATAATTTACATTTCGATGCTTTTCAATTCCCCATCCCTTATGGAATATTTGCATTCCATAAAAACGAATATTTGTAGAACAGTATTGAAAACAAGAAAAAAAAAAAATACCCAAATCTTTGCAGAAAGAAATCTAAAAACGGGTGCATTGGATACAATGCAAGAAGGCAACATGAACATCAATGTATTCAAAGGGAAAAAAGAAAAGACATTTTTATGTGGTAATCTTCTGTTATCGGGACTGGATTCAGAAACATAATGTGTGTATGCATGTGTGAGCATATGCATGCATAAACACATAAAGTCATACATGCATGCGAACATACGTTTCTGAATCCAGTCCTGATAACAGAATAGTACTTTTTATGCTAATAAACATACATAGCCCAGAAATCTCTAACTCTGGTAGAACAGATAACAGTCACTGGAGAGGACATTTAAAAACCTAAATGTATTATAGATTACAGCAAAAACATGGATGGCATAGACTAGGAGACAGTTATGACACACCATTCATGCTTTAAAAAATCGATGAAATGGTGCAATAAAAATGGAGAGAGATGAATATAACAATATCGAATTTGAACATTTTTTCTGACAAAAAACACAGCACTCAAATGCTGATTCTCTACTTTAAAATGAAATTGATTGAGCAAATTTTCACGAACTACAGAAATTAGCAAAAAGAAAAAGCAGTTATCAAGTTCACAAACTATACTAAAAGAAAGAAAAAAGCAACAAACATTTTATGCTTGTAGATAATGCAATGTAGGATTTTGCGTTTCTCAATGATTCGAGGCACACTCAGTCTTCATTTGAAATTATGTTACTTCTGTTTGTAAAAAGTCTTTATGTATTTTATTAATAAATTTTAAAATTTAATAATATATTTTGTCAATTAAAACTTTGAAATAATTTGTCTAGTGTTTTCAAAAATTATTTATCAAGGTATGCAATTTTTTTTACATATTATTGGGCTCAAAACAAAAAGGGTCTCCCTGAACATCAGAACTTGAGAATCATAACAATAAGCCTATTTTTGTCAATGATGAGTAGAAATTCAATTTATCATCAATTTTTTATGAGTATGTATTTGAAATGAACCAGGAACATAAAATATTCTTCCACAAACAATAAAGAGTGAGCTAACAGATGTAATGGAGATTTTTATCAAAGTATTATAAAGATGCATATGGGGTCTAAGATGAATATGAACTAGTTTGCTCATGGCAGGCATTCATGAATACATGCAAGACAAGAATAATTTTTAGACAGAGAACAGATATTTTAAGGAAAAAATACCATTTTCACTTCATGAGCAAGACTAGGATGGTTTCTAGACTGGCAACAGGCATTTTAAGGAAAAAACATCATTTTGTATATATATATATATGTAAACTTCATGCAGGATAAAAAATATAACATATAAAAAATTTACCCTAAGAGCTTTGCTAGCTTCTTGCATACAGGATTTGACATGATCTATTTTAAGCAAAGTCTGCATGGCTTGAGATGCATCATGTTCAACCTAAAATATTTTTTCTCTGATATAACAGATTATATTTACAATACATTACACACAAATTTAAAGTTATGAAGCACACAATCAAATCAGGTAATATTTGACGTATGTCTTGTTTTGAATTTTTTGTTCTTTTAAGGACTCTGAGAGTTATAGGCAGTAGTACATGTAAAACAGTGGTTTTCTACATATAATTTTCATAGGACTGTTTGTAGGTAATAACGATAATTTAAATATTCTTTCAACAATGGATTCCATTGATCCTGCTATTCAGTTCACTTGTAACGTTGCGCGCCTCCAACTTGCACGCAACCAAGAGGTGACTGTGAAAACTGGATAAAATACAGAGTCTTGTGAAGGGTTTAAGTCCCTTTTTATTCAACGTAAAAATTACAATTGCGTGCTCTTCACGCTCACAGACTGCGCCAACTCGGCGGTCAAATAAAAATAATAACCTGAAAAGAAACTAAAGACAAGACTCTAACTACGAGGCTCTCTAAAATAACTAACTCACCGCGTTTTACAATACCGCTGCTAATTCAGCAGACTTGAAGCTCACTTTAACGATTAACACTACTTCCCGCCAAGCACATAGGCCGAAACGCGGGGTTCTTCAATTTCTCGCTAACTACCTCCGCGCTCGTGAAGTAAGAATATCACACACCGAACTCGTTTCCTTCCTATTTAAATCATAATACTTCCGCTGATAATTTGAATCCTTGCGCGTTCTACTAAAATTTACATATTCTGGCATTGGCAGTTCCAGGGGAAAGTAAGGCTTGACAGGAAAGATAGTTTAAACTTAAAATAAATGTTAGTTAAAATAAATATAAACCCTACATTTGCCGCTGCCAGAATTTGGAAAACTTGGAAGCAGGTCCTAAAAACGACCTGTTGTAAGTTTCTCTAATTCTGACTAAACTACTGGCTGGAGACTGGCGAACCTCGTTTACACAAAAAAAATCTTATGTAACAAATTGTATACTAAAATTCTGTTGATCGTTATAAAGCTCTCTTCTTACAGCAACTTTTCCTGGACTTCATCAATCAATCTTGGTCTTTCCTTCCAGCATCTCAAAGGAATAAGTATCAGTATCTTTCTAAATACATTATAATTTACACTTTCTTGACACAATAAATTTTTGTTTTTAAACGATTCGTTTTTCTTAGTTATTGCTTACTTCACATTCATTCAATTTTTCAAGCATTAATTTAACTTTACCCTGGCTCTCCACCGTGTGTGTGTGGTGTCAAACGGGAATATTCGTGTTTTAGTCTTACAACATTTCCCCTAACCACCATGATTTGTTAGAATTCAACGACCAAATAGACACACCTTACTCGACATTCTACAACTCAATCAGCTACAATATTCTTAAAAATTCAAATGTAGGTGGAGAACCCTACAAAACACATTCATTCTAACTTCCCCCTCATTCATCTTTAAACATGCAGGCTTTCGCTCTAAAGCATGACTTAAATTGACAGTTTAATACTTAAATTTTGACTTCATTGCTTTTAAGCATTCACTTTTAGCATCTACAATTTTATGCTTCTAGACTAAATTCTACTTTTACATAACATTCAAGTATTTACGTACATTTACAAAATGTTAATACATATGATTTTACAATTTACCATAAAATGAATAAGAGAAATAAATTTTTACTTTACTCATTCTTCGCCAAGCTGGCGGCACTGAAAACTAAAATTCTTATTAATACAAGAATACGAAGTTTATTTTATCTTTAGCCAAATTTTGGCTTTAACATAACAGAATTAGTCTTTCGACCAACAGAAAATGCTTGTTTTTAGCTTTTACACTTAAAGAAAATGATACTTTTGCCTTAGCTAAATAAAGTAAAACAAAACTAAGTCTCAACCGAGACATGTTGACTTTCGTCAAAACATAGAACTTCGTACTTATGCATAACATTTCGGAACAAAAGAGGAAAAAAAAAAATTATAGAAGGTTTTAACTTATCTTTGAGTTTTCGATGCTTGAAACTCCGTCATTCGTTTTTGGCAATATTGTTCCCAAGTTAGAGGTTTCATGGATGTCAATCTTCTCCTTATTGATCTCCGAGTGTCGTCCACATTACTTTTTCTTTTGCGTCCTCTACATGCTGGCCTCTTGGCGGAGTAATCGTCTGGTTGTTGGCATTTCCGTTTTTCCCTGGGATGGCTGGTCTTGACATCCTCCGGTCTGGAGTCCTTCTTGAATTTCTTCTGTTCCTCGTATTTTTTGTGCCCCTGTTGCCGTTTCAGTTTCCGGAACGGCGGCCTTGCTGGCACCTGACTCTGTGGCCGTGTGCGCGTTCTCCTTGATGTATAATTTTTCCTGCAATCCTTTGTAGGTGGTGTTTTTCTCTTTACCACGGTTTCTTTACCCGGTGCATCTGTATTTTTGTTTTTCTTAAATGCTGGAGTCTGAAAATTATTTTTTCTTTTTGATACCGACGTCCGGGTTGTAGAAGTGCTAGGTCTCTCTTCAGTTCTCTGTTTCTTGGGTGGTGGAATATTTGTTGTTATCTCTGGACCTTCTATTTCGTTTAGACTGCAAGAAACTTTTAAGGATTTCAAAATCATTTGGATTATAGTATTTTTTCACCTGGTCGGGACTTGCTTTACAGATTTCTCCTTTCTCGTTCTTAAGATATAATACTACTCCTTTGATTTCCTGAATTACATAGGGGCCTTCAAACTTTGGAGCTAGCTTTGCCGTAAAATTGTCTGGGGCACTTGATAAAGAAAATTTCCGCTTCAATACTTTATCCCCAACTTTAAAATCTGCAAGAAACTTTTAAGGATTTCAAAATCATTTGGATTATAGTATTTTTTCACCTGGTCGGGACTTGCTTTACAGGTTTCTCCTTTCTCGTTCTTAAGATATAATACTACTCCTTTGATTTCCTGAATTACATAGGGGCCTTCAAACTTTGGAGCTAGCTTTGCCGTAAAATTGTCTGGGGCACTTGATAAAGAAAATTTCCGCTTCAATACTTTATCCCCAACTTTAAAATCTGCTTCACGGCATTTTCTGTCATAATATATTTTCTGCCTATTTCTTGCCGTATCCGAGGTTTTAAGCACCTGATCAATCAGCTTTTGCACATCTTTTTGTTTAAACTCCTGCTCTCTTTGTTGCACAAAGAATAATTTATCTAAAGGCGTAATTAACTTTCTGCCTAAAAATAATTCTGCTGGAGTTTTTCCTGTAGAATCATGATTTGCCGTTCTTAAAGCATAAGCTAATTCATTTATGTAGCCATCCCAGCGCTTGTGATGTGTGCTCACGTAACTGCGAATTATTTTTACTATATTTTTATCAACTCTTTCTGCTATGTTAGCTTGTGGTCTATACGGAACCATTTTGATATGGCGTATGCCAAGTCCATTGCATATGTTTTCAAATATTTGACTAATGAATTGTTTTCCGTTATCGCTAATGACTTTTATCGGTGCACCATATTTTAAATGTATCTGTGTAATGAATGCTCTGCGACTGTTTGGCTGACGCGCGTTTAAGTGGAACAATTTCTGTCCATTTTGAAAAATGATCTACTATTACTAAAAGAAAACGATTTTTATTTTATTAACTCGCTCTGGGGGAAGGGACCAAGAAGATCTATGCCTAAAATTTCATTCGGAAATGTAGCGCGAATGCTATTTAAGTACCCAGCCGGGCTGTAATTAATATCATTTATTAACTGACATTGATTGCAGGACCTGACATACGCCGTTACTATTTTGTATAATTGCGGGAAATATACCGCCTCGCGTACCCTTTTTAAAGTCTTTCTGACCCCTAAATGGCCCGCTGTTTTTGCTTCGTGTAATTCCTTCAAAATGCTTAAACGAAGCGAGGCTGGGATGACTGGTTTATACTCAAGATTTTCGTTTGTTGTTTTCGTATAGAATAATAAATTATCTATTATTTCATAGTTCTTTGCTCTATTTCTTATCGCATCGATATCTGTGTGCTCGAAGCTTTCGGGGTCTTTCAAATAAGCATAGATATTTCCAAATTCAGGATCAGCTTTCAGTTCAGTAATAACCGTATCTCTAGAATCTAAAATTTTTGAAGTCAACACAGCGCATTTAAGTTCATTTCCTTCATCGTCCAGTTTTATACGAGAAAGTGCGTCAGCTACACTGTTTTCCTTACCCGGTTTATATTTTATTGTGATATTATATTCTTGGAGTTTTAAAGCCCATCTTATTAACCTGGGCGTTAGGTTTTTCCCCGAGTAAAGTCTACCAACAGCCGCATGATCTGAAAAGACTGTTACTGGCGATTTGCCGAAATAAACTCGAAATTTGTGTACAGCCATTAATACGGCTAATGTTTCTCTTTCTGTAGCTGTATAATTCCTTTGTGTCTGATTCAATGTTTTACTAAAAAATGCCAGAGGATGGTTATTTTGCATAAGAACCGCGCCCACCGCATAGTCTGACGCATTGCTGCAATTTCCAGGTTTTCGTCCCCTCCGGGAATTTTAAAACAGGGCATTAATAAGCGCTTCTTTAATCTTTCAAAAGCGGTGTTAGCTTCCGCTGTCCACGTAAATTTACCCCTTTTTCTTTTGATTACTAAGAGTGGTTCAAACAATTAGCGAAATCTTTTATGAAAGATCGATTAGTAAGAACATAACCCAAGGAAGGAAGAAAGTTTCTTGGCGGTGTTGGGGCGGTGGGAAATTCTTAATAGCTTTTATTTTTTGAATCTTGCGTTTCTATACCCTTTTGCGAAATTTTTAACCGAGATATTTAAGTTCTTTAGTTGCAAACTTGCATTTTGAGGCGTTAATTGTAAGACCGGCCTCTTTTTAATAATTTAAAACTTGTTCTAGATCATTATGTGTTGTTCCAACGTACTACTCGTTATAATTATATCATCTAGATAAATTAGTTGATTTTCCTACGACAGGCTTTAGAACATGTCCATAGCCCTCTGGAATGTTGATGGGGCCCCACACAACCCAAAAGGCATGCGTAAAAATGCA